GTGAGGAGGGCTACCCTGGGATTCTGCTTCAAGTTTCCCAGGGGAGTTGAAGAAATACATCCTGTCCAAGAAAAATGTAAGCTGCTACTGCTGCTGGAACATTTTTTATTTCTTTGAAAAATATTAGCTCTATGCCTTGTCCTGAGCTGTAGCAACATACTCAGCTTAACAGGTCTAGGCAAAATAGGCAAAGGCCTGTTGAGGTGGAAAAAGGAATGTCATTTCTAAAGTGCTGACAAGCATCTTCTTTTTTTCCCCTGAAGTAAAAATTCAGCAGTAAAAGTCTTGGAAAGAATTTTTTTTTTTTTTTTAATCTTTATGAACCATTTAAATATTTTCCCATGTGTTTCTGATCATCTCAGGACAATGTATAGTTTTTCCAAACTCCAGAGGTGAAGCTCTTGGTGAGGTAGAAATCAGCTTGATCCCAAAGATTTTAATAATACCAAGGGACGCCTGCAGAGGCCAGTGATGCTGAAGGGCAGACAGTGCTAATGTGGAAGGCCAGGCACAAACAAATGGCAGCAACGCCATTCACTGAGAGCAGGACTGACCTCTAGGCCATACCAAAAGGCAAAAACAAGCCAGTGTTTTACTTTGGGCTTCCCCTCAGCCTGGATCAGCCCCACACATGGATTCCTCTCACCCACGGACAGGATGCTTTGAGGCAGGACAGACTTAGCTGGAACCCAAGGGTTTGTTCATGGCCTCTTGAGCCCTCTCTGCCTGAGAGCACACACTCTGCCAAGGCACCAGTTCTCTTCCACAGCCCTCCCCACTGGAAGAAAGAGCCGCAAAACTCATGAGGAAAGCATCAGAGGGCAGCTGATCCTGGCGTGACACAGTAACCTGGGATGAAGACAGGTTATGCTGCAGCCCCCCTGCTCTTCCACACCGTCTCAGGTAGCACAGATCTACTTAAGTCCTTCATGCCTGTGTTCCTCTTAGGGAGCAGAGGGATGGTGGACTTCCACTGTGCCTAATGCCCTGTTTTCTTCCCCACAGGATGGTCCTCACTCCCCTGATAGACCCACCAGCCATGCACACTCAGTTTTGGGTGCTGAGCTCCTGGTGCCAACAACAGAAAGAGGCATCAAATCACTTGGTTTAGAGAGGCAATTTGGAACACCCCACTGATATTTTCCAAACATTTCTGGGCCCCACTGGGATGAAACCCATTAATTTCAGTGGGCTTTGGATGATTTCCTATGTACACAAAAGTTGAAAAATTGTGCTTTAAAAGAAATGCTGAAGTCAAATTGGGAAATTTTAATGATTCTCTTTGTATTTTAATTTGGTGGCTGTATGCTGACAATATAATTAGAGAGATGCTATGTTAATTAATACCAGATGACATTAGTGGGATGGCAAAAGCATCCCGTTTTGTACAGAATAGTTCACAGTTGAACTGTTCATTTCTTCCCACCCCATTTTTAGTAGAGAACTATATTCAAAAAGTCAGAGACAGCTGAATTAAACCAAAAGCCAAATCATTCACAAATACCATGTACCTTAGCATGTTATTTTCAAGCCAAATCTAATGTTATTGCAGAAAAATACTTTAGCCATGTTTCCTTTAAAGCCTACATGTTTTAAAAAAGAAGGAAAGTTTGTAGGACCTCTTGTTATTCTTATGCTTGAAGTGGGTAGTGGCCAACCAAGTTGCCACTGAAGCCAATGAAGCAGGACCTAGACTTGTGCTTTACATAGCTGAGGGTTTGAAATGTAATTTTTGGTTTAGTGTTCATGGATTTCTTGGGGGTCCATCCAATAATTTGAAAGAGATTTGCAATGATGGAGCAATACATGTTCACATTCAGTGTGAGCCCATACATGCTGTATTCATATTCTGGGTGAGTTCAGCTTCCTTAGACTTCAGTCTATACATGTAAAATTACTGGAGCTCCCCAGACCACTCCAGGAAATTTGACAGGGCATTAAAGTCACCATTTCATGAGAACTATAGCCTTTATTTTAATATAAACCTATATATTCCAAATTGCACATGTAGAGATATTTATCTATATATGCAAATATTTATATATTTTAAGTTCACTGTATAAATGTCTTGTAGATACTGTCTTGAGTAGAGTGTTAAAAGTCTTGGGGAATATAACTGTATCCTGCTGTGTCAGCAGACAAAACATTGCAAGCACATTTGTACTATTCTAAATAGAATTTAAAATGAAAAATCTTCTGTAGGTGATCTCAACAAGAGAGCAGCAGAAGGAAGTTGGCAGGATGTCCTTAAAAGTCTTAATTTCCTGGGGGGGAGAAGAGGCAAAGGTAAAACCTGAAGGCTAGCAGATCCCAAATGGAGGTATCACTACCACCCTTGACCTATCTAAAAATAAATTCCCTTCACTAATATTCCTAATTCACAGCAGGCAAACCTGAAGTTGCACAAAACCCACTTACCTTTCTGTGCTAACACTACACTGGTTTTGCATCTGCTTTGCATAGAGTTCAATGCCAGGAAAAGCCACAGGAAAATTAACTCTTGTCCCAGCTTGTCTGATGCTCTCTGTTAACAGGGAAAGCTTACTATTCATCCCCAGGCTGGAGCTGAATTTTACATGTCCTGCCCCCCAGCCCACAACTGCTGACAGGTGAGGAATACTCCTATGTTCTCAAAGTGAAAATGTCACTGAATTCATTGTATCATGTTTAGGAACAGGCAAATCTGAGTACTGTAAATGTGAGGTTGTACTTGGCCTAGTGCTCGATGTCATAAGGGAGGCATCTTGGAGTAAGGAGCTGGTGTTGCCCTCAATGTTCCATATCCATGGAGGATCCAGAAGACAGGGACTGGAATATTTTATTGCCATTATGAAGAAATCTTTGAATTGAAAATATGCTTTAACTTAGCAAAAGTATGTAGCTGCAGCACACTGAAGGGTTCTGGGATCTGAGAGTGCACATCATCTTTGCACATGTTCAGAATTCTCTGTGCAAATTACACCAAAGATCACTAAAATTAAGATGGTAAGTCAGAGAAAAAAACTTCCACAGAATCAAAGAGATTTTCCATCACTTGTGCTGACTATCACCAGCAGTGAATGGGCTGGCACTTAATGTTCTTGATCAGCTCATTTATTTGATCTTGTTTTCAAACCACTCCACAATGAGCACAAGAAGTTATTTCTAAATTAAATGCAAATATAGGAACAAGCAGTTTCATAATAGATATTTATAAACAAATTCTGTGCACAAGAAAAGCAGCTTTGCATTCTGCTTTTTCCAGAATTCTAACAATTCATTTCCCTCCACATGACATGCAAAAGGATTGTTTGCACATTTTGCTGAGATCCTATGGAGATAAGGCAACACTAGCTGTCATCAGGACCTGAAGTTTTCATGGAGAAGGTTCTGCCAACAGCAGCTGCACTCCGGATACTCTTCTGATCCCAGATGTGGCTGTGTGGGTTCAGGGTTTCCCACATCCCAAGCTTGTGGTTTTACCACCAGGCTACTTGTTCTTTGAAAGCAAGTCTGACTTTTGGGTTTTACATCTGCTCATGTGAGGCAGCCTAATTAACAACCCTGATTTGCGAGATGATCTCATGGTACTCTGTCACATGGAATTTTGTGAGGGTTTTTTTTGTGTTTTGTTGTTGTTGTTTTGTGGCAGTTTTTTGGGGTTTTTTGTTGTTTTTTTTTTTTGTTGTTGTTTGTTTGTTTGTTTTTTGTTTTTGTTTGTTTGTTTTTTTAATTGTGGCTGTTGGGAAACAACCTAATAACATTTAATGCAAAAATTACTAGGTTACTGACACCTAAATTTGTGGGAGAGGTGAAATGGAGATCATAAAAAGTTTCCTATCCCTTGAAATGTCCAAGGACAGGTTGGATAGGGCTTGGAGCAACCTGGGATAGTGAAAGGTGTCTCTGCCCATAGCAGGGGGTGGGACGGGATGATCTTTAAGGTCCCTTCCAACTCAGGCCATTCTGTGAGTCTGTATTTCAGTTACACGGGAGTTATGGCTTTAGCCTTTTAATAAGAAATGATGGTTTACTACGCATCTGTTAACTTGTTTCAAACTCTGTTTATTAACTTTTATTCAGAGCTAAAAATCAAACCTTGCATTTTATTTTGAAAGCTGACCAGCTTTATTTGGTTGGTAAGTGTTGCAGCAGTTCCACAAAGCTTCTGCTGACATTTCCATGATGGATCAAATTGCTCTTTATGTGTAACCAGGCACTGCCTGTCTGGGCAGTCCACATGTCCCCTCAGATGAGCCTGTCCTGAGCCTTATGGTGGCTCTTGTGCCTCTTCCCCCCCAGGTCCCCATGGGCAGTGCGGGAAGGGGGAAACGGTGTGGAAATGCTGGAATTGTGCACATTTCCCTTCACCGCCCTCGAGCACGAGCTTCCCGGACAGACTCTTCCCAAATGTCTCCTCCAAGCCTCTCTCCAGCCCCAAACACGCATCTTCTGGCCCCATGGAATCCCATGATGGATGGGACCTCAGTGGGGCATCTGGTGCCACCTCCCTGCTCCAGCAGGGCCATCCCAGAGCACAGGGCACACAACTGTGTCCCGATGACTCTGGAATACCCCCAGTGAAGGAAATTCCCAGCCTCTCTGGGCAATCTGTGGAAGTCGTTCCTCCTCCTGTCCAGGTGAACCTCCTGGGATCAGTGTCCCTGCCCGTTCCTCTGGTGCCATCGCTGGAGAGGAGGCCCCGCTGGAGCCTGGGCCCTGCTCAGAGCCCTCCTTGCAGAGAGGGACACCCAGGGCTGAGGGCCCCTCTCGAGGCTGGACAGCCCCAGCTCCCTCAGCCTTTCCGGTCCCTAAATCATCTCCGCAGCCTCCGCTCCAGGAGCTCCCTGTATCCCTCATCCCGAGGATCCCAGGACTGCACACGGCAGTGGCCAGGCGCGGTCCCGAACCCGTGCCTCACCTCTCGGCAGCGGGAGGGCGGTGCCGGCGCTGCCGCAAGGGGCGCTGGAGCGCCGAGCGCATCGATCGCGGCCGTCCATCCGTGCATCGGTGCTCGGCTCCCTGGGCAGCGCCCGCCCAGCCCTGCTCGTCCCCCGCCATTTCGCACCGGGACGGGAAGGGAAGGGAGCTGGAGCGGGAAGGGAAAGGAGAGGAAGGGACGCGACGCGGGCACGGCGGGTGCCGGGAGCTCACGCGGCACAGCCAGCCAGGTACTGCCTATCCTCACCCCGCCGAGCTGGGGCGACCCTTTTCCTTCTTTCCTTCCTTGCCCGCCTCCCCTCCGAGGTGGGAAGTGCAGCCGGCGCCCCCTTTCTCCCCCGTCGCCGTTGCCTCTCCCGTCCCCTTTCCCTCTCCTGTCCTGCAGCTCTCGCCGGCATCCCCCGGAGCCGCATTCCCGTTCCTTCCCGGCGGGAGGGGACAGGTGGCCAACGCCCTGCGGGACTCGGCGCTCGCCTGAGACATCCCCCACCCCTTCCTGAGCCCTCATGGATTTTTTTTCCTCCCCTTCACTCCTTCTCGCAAATCCTTAAACCCGGAAAGTTGGGGCGGCGCGGGCGCGGCGCTGGCGGGGGCAGAGGGAGCCGGGGCGGGGCGGGCGATGCCCCGGAGCCGCGGGGGTCCCGCAGGCACGGCTCGCCCCGCAATTAAAATTTAATAAAACCCACCCTAAACTGTGCAGGGGAAGCCACCGGGAGAAGCCGTGCTCGCCGTGTCTCCTGTCCGGGCACGAGAGACCCGTTCCCGGCTGTAAGCTTCATCCCGAGGGGAGCTGGGACGCTCCGGGAAACCCGGGCGGGCTCCGCCAGGCACCTGGAGGAATCAGCGGGGAACTAAATCCCTACATGGATTAATTCCCTGCACGAAATACTCATTTTTCTTTTCCCGGAATTCAGTGCCTTTTAAATTTATTTACTGGGGTTCGTTGTTGGGGTTTTTTTTTGTGTATTGTTTTTGGGGGTTTTTTTACTTATTTCTTTTAATCTCGGTGTGACCGCTGCCCACTCTTAATATTATTCCCTGTGCGTGTAATATTTGAGGAACAGCATTCCCTCATCTCTTTTTGTCTTGTTTTGCAGGAAGGGAGCTGCTTCCCGGTAATAGAGGATCCTGACGCTGAATGAGAAGGCACCGGCGGCATCCTCGTTAGTGGGAGCCCAGCTCTGCTTAATGTTGGTTTCTTTGTCATCAGGTCTGCTAAAAAATGACAGAGTATAAACTTGTGGTGGTTGGAGCTGGTGGCGTAGGCAAGAGCGCCTTGACAATACAGCTAATCCAGAATCACTTTGTGGATGAATATGATCCCACAATAGAGGTAAACACTTCCATCTCATACTTTTTCTGAGGGGAGATTATCAGTGAATAATGGTGCTTGTTTCCTTTTGCATACTTACCACAAGGACAGGGCTTTATAGTAAAAAGAGCTCAGAGATAATCTTCTGCGTTGGAGACAGAATTGTGCTTCTTGATCTAGCAGTGGAACAACAGCTGCAGTAACAAATTACCAGTTTTGATCAATTAAAAGCATGGTGTTAATTGTCATGTATTCTTGGGCAGTGTGGATGCTGGTGTTTAGGATCTTCATGACAAAATATTTGCAAACTCACTTGAAAACACTTGGTGAAACCCTTCATAGCTTTGTGCAGCCTCTTAAATGGGATGTTTTTCTTTATATAAGAAGGAGGCAGTGTGGATGCTGGTGTTTAGGATGACAAAATATTTTCATGACAAAATATTTGCAAACTCACTTGAAAACACTTGGTGAAACCCTTCATAGCTTTGTGCAGCCTCTTAAATGGGATGTTTTTCTTTATATAAGAAGGAAAATTTGTGGTTGTGAGACGTGTGTGCCAGTCTTTCTCAGCTCCTATCGGGGATCTGTTTCACGCAGGGAGAAATGAGTCCTAGGATGTTGCAGTGAATGAAGCAAAAATTGGAGCCTGTTTTGTTTTGGTTTTTTTTTCTCTCTTTAAACACACCAGTACGAGTTTCCCTATCTAGAGAAGATGTTTTAAGATAGCTTCTGAAATGGGTTGTTTGAAATGCATTGCTCAGTACCTCAGAGTTTGAAACTGTATATAAAAGTTGTGCTGTTTTAAAGCTTTATAATAAGCAGGCAAGCTCTGTCTTGTAAATACAAGAAAAATACTGGTGTTGTCTAAAATCTCCTGTGGATCGTTGCATTTAACAACCTCAGACTCTATAAAAGGCAAAATTACACCATAACTTAACTCAGGTTTTTATGTTTGGAGCACTGAAGCTCTGCATCTCATGACTTCATTTATATGTTTATCCAGCAAGGAACTTGCAGGCTCACTTGAAGGAATCACAAGGGTTTAAATCTGGGCTTAAAATGGAGACTTGGGAAGTGTGTAGGTAGTGATTTTCAGGGATAAGCAGGAGGAGCCAGTGCCCTGAGGTAGCACAAATTTAGTGAGGGCCTGAACCCAAACAGAGATTTGTTGACTTGAGGTTCTTTCCATTTGTCGTCTTTTCTGTCTCTTGCATGGCCGAGTAACACCTTGCTTGCAGACGGTTTTGTGACTAGGCCTGTGCAGAAAACTTTGTACTCCAGCAGAGCAGCTCTTTTTTAAAGAAAGTCTTAAAACAACAACCCCAGACACTCTCTAAAATCACACAAACTTGCTGAGAGGAACCAGCCAAATGGGATTTTACTTTTTCCTGCAAAAACACATTTGGTGGCTGTTGGTCTTTGATGATTTTTCATAATTACCTGAGTTTCTCTTAGGTTAGAGGTGTGTTTAAGCACTGCAGAAAGTGCTATGCAGGTTCCATCTTATAAGTTGTCGCTGTGTAAACAGTTTAGGAACACAGAAACTTAAATGCCAGTATTCCTGGAGCTCTTGAGGGAATTTGCTATCCCTCCAGCAGAGTGATTTGAAGGACATTAACTACATTTTTAATGTAAAATAATAAAATGGAAGTACAGTTCCTTATAGAATGAACCTGAAAATCCCAGAACTGTATCTTTCATTCATGGAATCATAGGCTGGTTTGGGTTTGAGGAACCTTAAAGATCATTTTGTTCTCATGGGCCAGGGACACCTTCTACAAGACCAGGATGCTTGAAGCCCTGTCCAACCTGGCCGTGGCCATTTCCATGGATGGGGCAAATTCAGTGCTGTGGTCCAAAATCCATGTCTTCTTTAAGAATTACACCAAAAATTAACTGGTAATTAAGCAACCCAATAGGTTTTGCCAGCAGTCACATGCAGCAACATTAATTTCTGCTCCTTTTACACATTCTTGTCTACTAGATCCTGTTCTTATCTTGTAAATTCTGAGGCCTCGGGGATGGAAACTGTATCTTCCTCCTCCTGGTAACTGGCCTTGTATGTGCTCACGCGTGGGTAAGCAGTAATTCATTGCCAACAAGGGCAGGCTGTGATTTGGAGTGGGAAACAAAAATAAAAATTGGGTTTAAATGGTCCAGTTCATGCTTGGGCAGAATCCACTTGGTTAAGAAGGGTTGGTGATGTGCTTCCTGTGTAGGTGTAGTTGTGATGCTAATCAAAGAACAGTGGCTGTGGAGTGGGTTTTAGGCAGTATGAGGACATAAGGTTAAAATTGCCTTGACTGGTAAATAATTAGGATAGTTCAGTGGTGTCACTACTGTTGTTTGCCACTTAGTACTGTTTGTTTCATTGCCATGCAGCAGAATGCTTCTTTTTCCTGCAGATAATCATGCTAAATAATTTGGGGTAAGATAGAGGAGGTAGTTCAGTGTTTGTTGTCCATGGTATATTTCATAACTACACAGTTAGTGAATAATTCTAAATATTTGCTATGATTAACAGAATGAAACTCCACACTTCTAAAATTCTCATGTTATGAAGACATAATATGGTGGAGCAGAGGAAAAAACACACTAATTACTTAATCACAGGTGCCTTTATAATGTTAATTTTGCTGCTGCTATCACAGGCGCCTTTATAATGTTAATTTTGCTGCTGCTTTTTGGTGGAGTAAACCTAATGATTCAACAGATAACCTGATTGGAAAACGTCAAGTTTCAGGGTCTGCTTGAGTGTTTTATTACTTAAATCTGAGCACAGCAGATGGCGGGGCAGGGGGAGGACTGAAAATGAGTGTTTGGGTGACTGCAGTTGTTCAGATATCAATGCTTTATGTGTGTTTCGCAGTCCAGTGCTTTATTTGAAGGAGATGTCTGAGCAAGGATTTATAGCCAAGTAATTTTAAGTGTTTTATTTTAAATTAAATGGGTAGTAACCGTTGTAAATCTGGTCTGAGCAGTTGGGGCAGTGCCCTCTACTGGCGGAGGCTGAGTAAATATTACTTGTGTTCACTTTACTTTAATTTTTTAGCTTTTTTACATTTTCAGGACATTTCAGCCCTAAATTTGTGTTGTCTTTAAAACGTTCCAGAGTAAGAGCAGCTTTCCTAGCTGCTTGTCAGAGGTTTGGAAATTGGATTAACCAAATCCCTCGGCTGATTTAGGAATACTGATATTTAAGTCCGTGTTCTTAAATGGCCTGTGCCCTTGTGAAACAAGCACCAGTATTTAGTAATAGCTTGGTCTCAGGAGCTGTGATTTTTAGCATTAAATCTCCAGTATAATGGAGTTTTGTGGAGTAATAATTACTTGCCTAGATGGGATTTATCAAGCACTGGGAGTTTTTTAGCTAAATTCCATATGTAATGTAAAGCTGAGATTTCATATCATTTTGTTATCAGTGCTCATGAGCATACGGAATTATTACTCCTTTAACATAATTCTTGCTGGTTTTTATGGCATGTGAAAGACCAATAAAAGCAGTTTATGTGATCAATGAAATTTTTTAAAGTTACGTACTGTATGCTTGGGACAATTGGAATTTCACATTTGAAGCTGGGTAGGAATCAGGAATTAATCTTCTAGTTCGCATAATTTCTAGTTTGCATTTTGTTTTTACTTAATAGTGTCAAATGTGAATTTCAGTTTTGATGTTTTGCAAGGGGGAGGGGAAAAAGGCCAAAAATAAAAATATTTATTATTTCACTCATCTGGAAATCATAAGCTTCAATTTTCTCTCCCACATCTTTATTTTCCTTCTGCTTCAAATCCAATCATAAGGTAGTCACTAAGATTTTCTCCCCAGAAGTGGCAAAGCAACACAGCACCTCAAAATAGTAATTTTTGTATCTGTGCTCTTTTTGCTGGTGCGTCTTTGCTGCTACTGCCAACATGTTAGGCAGTTCTTAAAAGCAATTTTCTTTGCTCTTAAAAATTATTTTCTTTGATGAAAATTACTTACAGCTTTTGTTTAGTGTTCATTTGAGGGGAATTTCTTTCCCTTTGAAGTCCTTAAGATGGAAAGCAATAGTACAGGCTTTTCAAGAACTGCTTTTCATATTTTTGAACTAGCAGTCAAATTGTAAGAAGAAAATGCAAGCTTTGTAAATATGTCTGGTATAATGATAGAATTTCTGCTAGAACTGTGGTAAAGGTATCCTAGGACATGGGGGATCTGCTCTTGAATGGAAGTGTTGGAATGAAGATGCATCCTTAGGTTTGGGGGTTTTTTTTGTAATTTTTTCCTTTTAAGCAGCAAGACAGAATATTAATTATATTTTAAAACACATTGGAGCTTATGTGTTTCTCAGCGTTATCAATATTTAAACATGGCTTTAAAGTTTCTGAAGTAACTTCCCCACTTATTGCCTGAACACTGAATTTCCACTTCTGTGAAATAAATAGTCCTAAATAATGTTGGAGGCAAGATTCTATCTTTAAGGTAAACAGTAGGTATTGTTTTATCTGATATTGTGAGCCTGGATGACATTTAACAGTAAATGTGAGGTTACAGACTTGGTTTGGTTTAAAATACTGGTTATTTACAATTATCTCCTGCTTGTTTCTTAGCATGAGCAACAGGAAAGAACAGAGTCTTTTGTAAAATTACAAATTAATAGAAATTGCCTAAGAGTAGGTGTGCTGTGCATTCAAATGGGTAAAGGAAGGAAGGTTGTTCTGAATTCACCTTGCAGCTGGCTAGAACTGCAATTTTAATTCTTTAATTCCCTTCCCAGTAGCTTAGGTTCACTCCTGTACAGTGTCAGAACAGCAGCAATGCTGCGTTAATCTCGAGCCAAGGAAGCTGAAAGGTGACAGCAGGAGCTGGTGTTCATACCTGGTATTTGTTGCAAGAGCTGCTCACTGGGAATAATTCATGGTGCTGGTTGGTGACACCTTTTCCAAGCTCATTGCCTTGGCTTTATTTCAAGCACAGAGGTGTTTACAGAAATTATTGGGCATGTAATGCTCACCTTCTTACTGTGAAGACTGTGTACTCATAGAGGCCTGGCACCTAAACAGAGATGTAATAAAATCTAATAGCTGGTGGGACTTTGTAGCCACTTCAGTCAGTGACCTGAAAGCTTTGATTTAGTAGCATTGAAACAATTTGTTCTGACATCTCTGTGAACCAGCCCATCAGGGTTTTAATATGGCTCTGTTGGTCTGTCCTGGCTGAAAAGCTTCAATTTCAAATATATCAGACCAACCTTGGTAACTTAACAAGAGATATCATTATACACACCTGCTCAGGCATACAAAACAGATTTTCTGTCCCAAACACTGAAGGCTTTTTATTCTTCTCTTCCTTTTCAGTGGCAAAGATTTTTGGAGTTGTCTTACTTGTGTATTCTTTCTGGTTTATTATTTTGTGCATTCTTGTAGCATAGAATATGGGACAAATTGTGGTTGAAATAACAAAATTAGTAGATTTTATTTAAATTAAAATAAAATAAAGTTTTATATAAATTAGCAAGCTTTAGCACAGTCAAACCTTTTCAGTCACTCTTATTCCTGGTAAATAATTTGATTGTCTCTAGATTTACTGATGTTCAAAACCGTACCTGTTTGTGGTTAACCAAGGTGTATTTTTTCCCTAGGATTCCTACAGGAAGCAAGTAGTAATTGATGGAGAAACTTGTCTCTTGGATATTCTTGATACAGCAGGTCAAGAAGAATACAGTGCAATGAGGGACCAATATATGAGAACAGGGGAAGGCTTCCTCTGTGTGTTTGCCATAAACAATACAAAGTCTTTTGAAGATATTCACCATTATAGGTGTGTATATGAAGAGATAATCCACCAGCTCTTGTTATTAGGTGGGAAGGGGGCTTGTTCTTCCTCTGGATAATACAGTGATCTCTCATCAAATAGGGAAAATCTGAAAATTAACAATATTGCAGCTTATTTGTGCATCTGTTCTCTGGAATTTTGGGTAGTCTGAAAATCTGCCTCGCTCATAAATTAGATGTAAATTATTGTGACTTAGTATTCTGAGTCAAGACTTACCCAAAGATAAATTCTGTCCATTCCATTGATGGAATTGTTTGCTAAGATGGAAAAACTGAAGCTATTGTAATTGTACAGATGGTAATGACAATTGCTGGTTTTGTTTGGGGCTGGAGGGGGAAATACCTGGGGATTGTTGTGAGAAGAATAACCTGTGTGAGCCCTGATGCCTGAGGAGGACAAACACACAAAACCAAAGCTCCAAAATGACAGTAAAAACCAACTTGTTACAAATTTCCTCATATTATCATCTTTGAAATAATTAGTTGAGAATTCCAACTCATGCTGTCTTTGTCAACTACACTGATTTGGAAATAGAAGCAGTCTCTGGTGATTCCATAGCAGACCATTTATAACTCAGTACCTTACTGTTATCCCTGAATTCTCCCTATTAGAAGCCCATGCAATTCCCACCAAAGATCACCGAGTTCATCAGCCTAAGGTTAGTCCCAAACACATGTTAGTCTATCCACAGTTAGGTAGTAGTAATAATAATAATAGTAATACCACAAATGGGTTTCCTGTGGGTTTAGAGGAGGAAGGGAAAAAGGCAAGAAAGATGTTGGTGTAAGGGGAAGAAGGAGCATAGAGGTTTTCATGAGGAATTTTTGTTTTTAAAGAGTTGCAGATTTGCATAAGAAGACCATCACAGTTTATTTCAAAGAGTGTTGGGAGTTGAGTGCTGGAAATTCTTCTGTCCGTTGACAGACCTGTGGGTGACCTTCTAGGCGTGAAGCTGATTGATCATAAAGAGCTGGAAACAGTGTCTGTTTTAATTAGGGAACACACTGCTAGATTATTTGGGAAGGCAGAAGTAATGAAATTAATGATTTTTCTTCGAGATTCCTCACAAGTACATCTAACATCCTTGAAGATGCTTTCTAACTAGTGCTTGAAGGCACTCTTACTAAATACCTCCCTGTAGAGAGCCAGACTAGTGGTCTTCAGATTTGTAAACCCCCTAAGTGCAGATTTTTTAATGCTGTCTTTACTTAAACAACAAAACAGAATCACAGCCTCCCCCCAAAATCAAGACAGGAGACACAGAGCTTTTGGCAGTTTTTTGGCAAATGAATGGAGTATTATTAATATGAGAGGTAAGTAGTAAGATTAATACCAGAGCTTGTTAAGCTTATTCTGATACTAGCTGCTACAAAGCTAAAAAAATATTTTAAAAAGCCAGTGTAATGATGGTAACCTCTATAGTAGTTTGTAAAATGTCAGGCTGTCGGTTGGTTCGTTGGTTTGTTTTTATTTAGTAAGATGCTAAACTTGATGATGAGAGGATTGGTCAGTTTATTGTTTAATGGCTTCCAACAGTGCATGTGCAGTAGATTAACATAAAGAATGATGTTCTGTTAATTTAATGTTTCAACTGTTTTAAAATCTACTGTATAAACTATTAATACTTGTTAAATGCAATCTTCTCTTCTTTGTTTTTAGGGAACAAATAAAGAGAGTTAAAGACTCAGAAGATGTCCCAATGGTGCTAGTAGGCAACAAATGCGATTTGCCTTCCAGAACAGTAGACACAAAACAAGCTCAGGATTTAGCAAGAAGTTATGGAATTCCTTTCATTGAAACATCAGCAAAGACAAGACAGGTAAAGCTCAAAACTTCCCAGATGCAAAGGCAGAGCTTTCATCGGAATTACCATAATGTTAATTATTCCAGGCATTGACATTTGCTTAGTCATATAAATGGATGCATTTCTGCAGATTGGAACTCCTTGGGGTGTTTCTTCTTTCTGTCAACTTGCTTATAATTGATAATTGCTTATGGATGAGTGATTGATTGGCTTCAAGTGGGCAGACTCTTGAGCGAGACCTGGCCTGCTGTTACTCTCTTCTGTCGGGTGTTTGCAGCATTCTTGACTTTGTGAGAAGTTTTAATAGAATAGCAATACTTTTATTTTAATAGAAAAGCACTTCTGCTAAGAGGTGAAATGCTTTTTTTTCCCTCAGCAAGAGGGTTAAACAGACGAGCGGCTAATTAGTTTAGTCTGATTTGTTTTCATTATAACAAAATAATTTTTCCTTGAGGCATCGATTCTCTAATTAGGGGGACATGCTTGATACACCTAAGAAATTGACCTTAAGGCTATTTCTGAAGTTCCTGAATTAGTTGTTTGTGTAAAATTATACTTTTTCTAAGACTTTAGAGCTCACTCTTAATTTATTGCAGCTCACTGGTCCTTTCAGTGCCTCTCTTGGGCTGTGTGAGGGCACAGGTGACAGAGTGGCACACCTGAGCTTTCAGGAGAAGAGAAACTATGGATAGAGGTGGAACTGGTTCAGTCCTTCTCGAAGAAAGCAATCTTGAAAAATGCTGGTTGGTGGTTTCTCTTTAAAGAGCAAAGATTTTAATGTTAGTACAAATTAGAACAGGCCTGAGTGGCTCCTATTCTGCATAATCAGGAGTGTTATGTGCAGGTTGTGAATCAAATTCAGGCGGTAAGTAAGGGCAGAATGCTACAGTTGGAGTAACTGCTCAGAATTTCTGAAGAGATCCAGTTAAATCACCTGGCAGAATTTCCTCATAGCTTGTAAGGCATGTTTGGATCTGAGAAATGAATATTTTACTAGTGCAAATTTGCTCCACCAACCCAAGTTTTTGACAAGTTGAAACCTGGGCTAATTATTGAAACTTCACAAAGCAATCTTAACTTCTGGCAACAAAGAAAGTCTCTGTTGGGTAGGATTTAAAAAAAAAAATCAAAGCAGAATTACCAAACTTGAATGACTGAGAATAAATTAGGCCACACAATTGTCCTGAAGAAGGGGGGCATACAAGTGGACTGAATAATGACAGTGGCTTTGTTTGGAAGGTGCTGTATTAGTGGCTGTCACGGAGATAGGAGGGTGAAAAAATAATTCTGAAATTACATTTTAGGTTTGAAACAATAGAAGTGCTACACCAACATCTAGGTTTTACTTTGTTCAGTCTGTTTTACTGAACAAATACTCCTTTTGCATAGCCACTTCTATTAAAAAGGATATTTGAAAACAAAGATGCCCAGTAGAACCTGTTGGATTTGAAAAGATGGCACCACTAGGGATGGCTGCTGATTCTTTCCCAGTGCTGTTCAGAGCTCGTTGTGCTATGAAATTCCTTCATAGGATGCCATGTAAATAAAATATTTTTGAGAAGAAAAAAGGGCATTGGAGAAAGAACTAGCATTTAGTTATAAAAAGAGGATCTAAATGTTAGTGTATGTGATTGTATATACATGTGTGTGTATATGCATAGAATGATTTTTCAGTTGCACTGTCATATATACAAATATGTGTATGTGTATAGATATATAAATACATACAGACATACACACACCTTCTTCAAAAGTAATTTTAAATTAGGGGAGTCAAACCATTTTGGGAGCTGCATAGGCCTGTGGGCTGTAGTTTTATTCACTTTGTCTAAAAGTCAATACATTAATAAAAACTCTGTCCTCTCTGTCCTCATGGAGACCTTCCAAATATGAACAGGTGCAGCTGGTGGTCTTCTGGAGTCTGTGGAAACTCTGCCATGAATCTTTCAAAGTAGGAACCTTCTTTTCCATTCCTGTCCTTACCTTCCACCACATGGAAACAACATCACTAATGCTCTGCTGAAAGGCACCACTTTCTTGCCTCTGCCCTTTACTATGCCCAGTTCTTCTGGAGCTCAGAGGGAATCAGAAATGTTTCTGCAGAAGGAAGGTGGAAATGGGAGGGAGTTGTCAGAGTAGACTTTTTTGATTGCCAAGACACTTTTAAAAAAGTGTGAGCATCCATGCTCATGCAGGATGATGTCTCACTTCAACTAAGTTTTTAAGATTTTAAAAAAATTCATAAGCAAGGACAGAAAATAGATGAATATTGAAATGAAGTACAGAAATAAGTTGTTCTAGAAGTTAGTGTGTTTGGGTTCTGACTGAGAATAAAGATGTGAACTTCAACTCACAACAAGAAGATGGTGTTTTAAGCCAAATCCCTCCCTGAATTTTCAAACAAATCATTGAATTAATCAGAGAATTCTTGCCTTAGTGGACCCTACAACTTGGGTATAAGGCTGCAGATTATTAATATTTTCACTTGGACCACTGACTGAAATCAATATAATGTAATTTATGAAAACAAGTGGTAGTCCTGTTTCTGAAAGTAAGCAAGTGGCAGTACTGGTAGTTTTGTAAGGCCGTGAGCCTTACTCATCCTTTCACAGTTCTTATGGAGAAAGAAATGAATGGCTTAGGTTTATTTTGATTGCTGATTTGCTTTTCTCTGTTTGACATAAGCTTTATATTCAGGTTCTTCCCTGTCTATGTGAGCAAGTAGTTCCCAATATTATCCATAGTATCAATGAGAGATGAGGGACAAACTTGATTTATCCCTGCCAAAGCTACACCTGCCATTTTTTATTTAGCTTCTCCATGCCTGGGAGTTACACAGGGTAAAGCTGTGAGGCCAAACCACACCTCAGTGTGGTTTGACTGTAGGGCTTTGTTTCCCTTGGAATATTTCAGCTTTCCTGCTGGTATTGGATTCACAGGGAAGGCAGATGATTGAGCATTATTGCAAGCGTAATAAAGGTTTTCCCAAAGATTGAGGTCTCATTATTTAGAATACATGCTTAAATGTACTTTTAAAGTGTATAATGAAGAAGTTGACCTAAATCACCAGAATACTGCTAAAAAAGCATTTTGGTTATTTCAGCTGTCTGATGTACAGTGGGTTAGACCCCAGCCTTGTCATCAAACTAAGTTGAGAACCTATGCCTGGTCTGGTGAAGTAACTGGGGCAGTATTTACAGAAATTCATTCATATATATCAGTTAAAATTCATGGCTAACTGATAATATAGTTTGCTTGAACCATTTTTTTAGGGGTTTGTCATATCTGTTTAATGATACTGTATCACTCCAAGCCATTTTTAATCCAGTTCTTGTGTACAGGTTTCATCTTAAAGTTTTGTTTTCAGTGGTCTTTAATTTGGTCAGACTTTTTACACTGGGGGTTGAGTTTTTTCTTGTCACTTGCCTGTTGTAAGGTAGAACTTCTCTGGAAGAGCTTAGTCCTCCCCCAGGGACAAAGCTCCAAGGGTAGAAAGTTTTGGTTGCTTTTAGAAAATCAGCTGTGGTAAAGTGCTTAAGGATGGGCACAGAACAGTTTTGAGTTGTAAGGGCTAACTTTCATTTCCTTTAAGTACTACAGAAGTGGAACTTGGGAAGATTCCTGTTTGGGATACTTCGGTCTGGATTTGAAACAACTGTTCTTTGCATATGGTCATATTTTAAATGGAGTGTTTGGCTGTCATTCAGGAGGCAAAAGGACCTCAAAAACATTGCCTCAAGGTCCTGGGTTCCTTGGGCTGTTTGGATTTTGAAGGTTTTAATAACTGCCAAAGGGTATTTTTGCTTCCTGCTCTCACAGCTAAAAGAAGTGATTAGTCCCATTTTATTTATATGGTCATTGCTTATTAAAGGAAAAAAATACTGGAGAGTCTTAAATTGGTATTAAAATTACTTCAGTTTGTAGGATTGGCATCTGGCTCTTTAAAATGTCACATTGTGCTAATGCTGTAAGCAAATATGTGCATGTACAGATTTTCTTTCAGAATAATCTCTTTCAGCAGGGTTCATAAGTCTGTTCTTGGTGGTGGCAGTAATAGCAATTTCTTTTCTCACTCTGTGTCTCTCAATCTCTCTGCATTGCTAAAGGAAATTACAGCTCCTACTGGTGATGGGAAAGTTGGCAATAAATGTTGACTCAACAATTGTTACCTAATTTTTAATGTGAAAGCTCTATAATCAAATTACATCTTTCTACTGCAAAACAGTAGATTTGTGAAAGCGTTGATTTTTGTACAGCCTGTGCTTCAGCACATAGCAGCTGATCAATGTTTGCTGTTTCCACTTCAGAAAGAAACTTCCATTCCTTCCAGAAAAACGTGGAAGTATGAGCTTTACTTGGATTTTGCCTGTTTTAGTGGTTTTCTTTATATTTTGCAACCCGACATACCTGGACTTGTCTATATTTTACTACATCCTGAGAAGGCACACTATGCATATACAGGGAAATACAATCCAAGAAATAAATCTAATTAATTAAGTCTTTGAATTGAAGAGGCTGTAGTTCAGAAGAACCCTCAAAGAACCCTTAAAGTGTAAGGATTAAGCAACAACGTGTTAAAAATAAATGTTGAGTGTGATACCTGTGGCACAGGTCATGCAAAATGACCCAGTAATTGTGGTCGTCAATGCTGGCAGGCTTTTGTTGTTCAGTCCATAATATGAAGATGAAATGGAGAGAGAATTTATGAAAAATCTGCCAAATAAAAGCCCAGACTGCCCATTGGTAGTAATAAAGCTTTGGGGATTAAGTGGTTGTGCTGCTTACCATGATAATCAGTGTGTTGTGGTTTTATTTTCAAATGATGAGTTTGTATTAAATTAATAACCCTGTTAATCTGATTGAGGAGACAAGTACTGAGACTGATAGTAAGGCAGAGGAGAGATTTGCTCTCCCCTTAAAAAGCTGCAGTAGAACATATTTCATGTTGTTCTAATAAGAACATCCTCACAGATTGATTTAAAGTCTTAAATTTATGCACAGATACACTAAACTGTATCTCTTTATATTACGTGTGGTTAAAAATGTCTTCAGTCTGTGTACATTTATTTTTTTTAAAGCTTGTAGTTTATATCCAAGTGGCCTAAGTGCAGAGCTGCAGAAAAGTAAGATGTGAGACCAGAGAAGTAAAACATGTAGCTCTGTGTCATCCCTGGAACACCTGAGGAGCATTTCTGCAGCAGATTAAGATCTGAGCAGCACAACTTCACAGATTGTTTGCATTTAGGTGTTGTTAAGGCACCCTCTTGGTTGCTGAGTCTGGCCCAGAGGAACAGATCAGGTGTGTCTTGTTGATGTAACAACATTCTTAAAGACTATGATAATGAACATTTGCTGCCATGGCTCAGATACCACTTTTCCTAAATTTAATAGCACAGTGCTTGCTTTGTAAAGTTAGTAGTTTTAAAAACCAACACTGCCACAAATTTAATAATCTTAGAAAATTTTACTTCTTTATAACCATTTTGGAAATCACCTGGAGGGACTTTTTTATTACTTTGTTGGCTTGATCCGTGGATTTTTGCAAAGTTCCCCTTCTGACCTAAAGAACAGAACATGAAGGAGCTTGCTTTTCTTTGCCCCAAATAGTAACATGTTCTCACTTTGGCTCAAAACTGCAAGTGGGTGGTTTAACTATGTGTGTTCATAAGTACCCCCTACTTCACAATCCAGTAAGGTTTTGTGGCTCCTGTATACATCCATGCCCACAGAAATATGGTAATATTCAGTAACACAAGCAGTATCATTTTCAGCAATGGAAGAAGTCTTGCTCTTTTTTAGGCCCAGTGTTACCATGCACAGAAGAAAATCAGGGCTTGAAGCATAGATATTTGCAATGAGTGGTAATCAAAAAAGTTTTTATCAAGCAGCAAATGAGCAAGCCCAGCATTTTAAATACATAAATGGAGCTCCATGTACTTTTCTCAAGTAAAGCTCATAATTTCAGTGGTTTTGTTGTGGTTTTTTCCCCTTCCATGGGTGTCCCAGTTTGTCTCAGTCATTAACAAAGCAGTTTTTAAGGAGTTGTGTTTTACAATGCAGAGAGTGGAGGATGCTTTTTATACATTGGTGCGAGAGATCCGACAGTACAGAGTGAAAAAAATCAGCAAAGAAGAAAAGACTCCAGGGTGTGTGAAAATTAAAAAATGCCTTGTAATGTAAGAGGGTAAGTTTGTAGTGTACCAGGGTAAGTGTTGCAAATCACTTGCCAAATAAAACTGATTGAGAGTGTCTTGCCAATCAGACTTTGTGGCTAATTGATGACATAATTTCAGATATAAAAACAATCACCTTTCAGTGTCCTCAGTATGGATTTGCTTTGTTTTGTGGGGTTTTATAAATGGGTTAACAAAAAATCTTTACTGCATATTGAATTTTCCAGCTGGGAAACGGAGTCACAGTTCTGAGTGGGAAGAAGTTAAGAGGAAGGAGTTTTATTAGGAATATATTGCCAATAGTTTTATTAGGAATATATTGCCGATACTGTTGAGGTGAATATTGGTTGAAGCTTCAGGCTGATGAACTGAGGGGAGAAGATTATAACACTTAAAAGTTCTCCTCACATGCAGAAATAGGAGGTTCCTAATCCAGCAAAACAGTGTTTAACTGGTGTACAGGATTTTTAAATTCTCAGGCCCTTCTTTATGCCATGCTAAACTTAAAAAATTTACCTTTACCATTTCTTTTTTGTCACCTGTAATACCATGAGTGATCCAGATTTGGACAAAATAAGGTTTCATCTTTTTTTGAGAGCCTTTTCAAGAGGTGGGGGTGAAGGAACACTGGAGGAGGAGAGGGAACTAAACTAAAACCAACAAGAAAGCACCAAAAAACCCCAATACCCAAATTCTCACAAAATATTTTTTTTTTAATCTATGTATTCTGCTGTAAGAAAAAATGGAGGAGGTGAGGACAGAAGAAACTGGAATGGAAGAAATGCTTGTCTAAATCACTTCCAGTGCTTTTTGAGCAAACCATTGGAGCAGTTCCTTGCAGATATTCCTATCCCATTAATTCTTTATCTCCTTCTGGACCAGTGCAGAGAGTGAGTTGTTACTCCTTATATGCTTGTCCAAGTGGAGGATGACCTGGAGTTTCCCATTCTGTAAAAGAAAAGCTGTTCATTTTTCAAGGTGTATGTTTGTACTTCAGAATATGTGGCAGAGAAGTAGTAGAATTTGGGTTGTATCCTCCAGAGACTGTCACAGTGTGGGAATGTTCTCCTCAGTGAGGAAGTTTTGTTTCTCTTTCTGGGAAAAAATTTTGATTCATATCAATTTTTACTAGATCTGCTCAGGCTTGTTAGTCTCATCTTTTAAGTGATGAATGACTGCTCAGAGGTAATTATTTAGATTTTTTTTTTCTAAAGAAAATGGTGGAGTCCACTTTCCTGGAGATGTTCAGGAAATGACTGGATGTGGCACTTAATGCCATGACATAGTTTACAAGGTGTTGATCAGAGACTTGATGTGCTTGGAGATGGTTTCCAACCTTAATGATACGATTCAGTTGCTTTGTGACACTCTTTGCATCACAGGTTTTCATTGCAGGAAACTGGAAACTTCAGTCATTAAACTCCCTAGTACTGCATCCAAATATTACTAAAATTGGTGCCATTAAAACACCTTGTTTTATCCTTCCCTGCTATCAAAAAACAACTAAGAGAAGCTGGGCAAGATGACTTTTGATGAGAACAACAGAAATTAAGTTGCTTAAGCCCTGTAGCCTTCTGGAAACTAACTTTGCTGTTACTTGGTGTGTTACGGGTGAAACCATACCACAAAGTAGAATTTTTTTTTATATAGTGGGACTTGAAAGATGCTGACTCTTGTCTGCTTTCCCTTTCTGTTGGGAGAATGAGAATAGGATGGTGGGAGTTGTGTTTTTCAGTGGAAGGATTGTTGCAGATTGTAAGGTTCTTATTTATGTCTCAGAACATCCTTTCCTTCTGCCAGCTTCCTACTTTCTTTCTAGTGATGTCCAAGAGAAGTATTTTGGGGGGTTTTGCACCTTTTTTTTCTCCTCCCCCCATGAGCGGAGTCTTCTGTCAGCAGTGGATATTGCTGAGATTTGGATGTTTGTTGTTGTGTTTTCTTTTTTCCCTGCACCCTGTTTAGAAAATAGCTGTGGATCTAAGGCTCTAGAACTTCAGGAGTCTGCTTAGGGAAGGAATTGTTTGCCTTTATTCCCAAGTGAATTCTGCATGGTATTGATGGGCATTTGCAGCAACTTTGTATTTAGGGAGTTGAGCTGGAGGAAGCATATTCCAAAATTATTAGGGCACAGCTGTAGTTCAGTAGTGATTTGAGTGGAATGAGAAGTCTGATATTTAAACCAGCCTGGCTTGTATTACTTTCCAGTCAGTAAAAAAATGTATTATTTCAGTCTGATATGTAGTGGGCCGCTAAGGAGAGCAGCAGCTGATGGTGTGAGCCTTACACCTGGAATTTTAGACTTCAGAAATATTCATTGTAACACAGACTGCAATGACAGTATTCTGTGAATAATCAAGTTGGATGGTCAGAGTGCTTTTCTCCCTCTTGGAATATTTATCTTCTTGCTGCCTGTGGGATGCCTTTTTGAGTTCTGTTAGTCTTGCACAAGTAGACTGAAAACTTCGACTGCCCAGACTGCCATGAACTGCTGATGCCTTCTGAAAGTTTCATTCCTTTGGCTGTTACACAGTAAAGCAGAAAGGACAAAACATCTTTTGATCTATTTGTAATTTCCAGCTAGCAGGGAGAAACTTCCAAAACTCCAAGTGAAATCCTCAAAAGAACTTGTTCCATGAAAGTGTCAGATTTTTAAAATAAAAAGCATGCTACAAGCAGACATCTAGATAATGCAATTTGGGTTAAGCTGGGTTAGTAGTGAAAAGTTTAAATTACAAAAGTTCTAGATTTGAATTTAAAAATGCCTAAATTCTTGATTCAAGCTGCAATTTAATGATTTCTCTCCATAGTACTACAGAGGTGTACAAATAGCTTCTGTTCCTTGTGACTGATACATGTGTGTATGTATATATGCATTTTATATTAAAAAAAATAAGAAAGAACTCCTACAATTTAGAACTCGTTTAAGGGTTATTTTTAGTGCTGGGATTTTAAGGAATTCCAAATTCCTTATGATTTTGGTGCTTGTTATTGCCAGCCAGGTTCGTTGCCTAGTCTCATGCATGCTTGTGGTCCTGCTGCCACATCTCCAGACTTCTCTACAGCCATTGGGACTATGTGGGGCTCCAAAAGCAAACTTGTAGCCAGGAGCAGGCTGCTCCTGTGGGATCAGTCTGCTCCTGTGGGATCAGTTCTGCTGTTTCTGTTGCCTCTGCCCTTTGGAAGAACAAGGGCCGGGAGCAAGGCCTGTCAGTGCACCTTTAGTGAGGCTCTGGGGTTTAGTTCTGAGCCTGCCCAGGGAACTGTGTTTCTAATCTGAGCCTGGATTTAGTGCTCTCATTCAGTACATCTTAGCTTCCCCAAAGGCTTGCACACAATAAGTGCATTGTCAGAGGGAGGAAGGTCAGCTGCCTGCAGTCCCTTCCTACTGAAAAAGCTGACTGGAAAGGTTGGCAGCCTTTGATCTCACAGCATTGATGCCTCGGGGACTTTCTGGAGACAGAGTATCCACTACTTATATTTGAAATTTAATGGGCAGGCTGAAAAGTGAAAGACGTCCCTTTACCTTGTGTTCTTCACTTCTAGCTCACAAGTGATCTAAGCATAGTTTTGTTTGTCATGTTCTGTTAATGACCTGAATTGAAGATGAATTGTGACAGGACCAAACATGATCAATAATTAGTGAGGCTTGGTCTGCAGAGGTGTAAATGCAAGGATGAAGGCCAAGTCAGTTCTGTAACCTGCTCTAGTGAAAAGTGTCCCTGCCTGCAGCAGGGGATTGGAATGAGATGATCTTTAAGACCCCTTCTAACACAAACCATTCTATGATTCTGTGTTGCAACATATGCTGTATTTAACAGATCATCATCTTACTAGGTAGAAAAAAAATGTCAGTCTTGATTGGAAAGTCATGTGTTTAAAGGTTCATGATAGCATCTGGGTATTACTTTGACTGCCCAAGTACAAGTTATTTTCTCTGTATTTATTTTAAAATATGCTTAATGAGGTAGGATTGCTTTTTTGAATACTTAAATTGCAGTTTTAAGTGTGACTCATTTGAAGACACCAGCTGAAAGACAATTCTGAAAGCTGGCTCTCTTAAGGCCATGTGGAGTCTTGAGCAGAGGTTGTTCTTATATGGTTCTTATGTTATAAGAATGAAACTCTTGGTTTTTCTGTTGTGATTCATTCTTAGTGCTGTAGTCCTCCTTAATACTGAGACCTGCAGTGGAATCATGAACTGTTGCTACTTCTGTAGCATTTTCCTACTTGAACATTGCTAAATATTCTCCTTGTGCTGAAGCTGTAAGCAAAATACACTACTTCTCTCTAAAGTAATACCAAGTACCTTTAATTTTACAAAAACTAATGAGTGACATGACCTTTTGCAGAAAGCCACTAGGCATGCTGCATCAATTTTATATTGGTCAATAATGCCTCAAAATGCAGAACAAGTTGTTTGCAAGGTCTTGTAATGTGCAAAAGTGTGCTGTTATTATTTTGGCGATATACCGCCAAGGACTTTGAACATCAGTTGTGTGTAAATGTTTTATGAACTTGAAGATTTTAAATAAATTTAGACTGTACTTAGTGCTGCTTTTTAAGTGACGCTATTTCACACCTCCCTGTTGTTTGGACTTTTCATGGTAGGTTTCATCACCACTTGGAGTTTGGCTGAAACAGTAATGAATTAGGTGATTTTTGGCTTTTTGTTTTTTCAGAGTTCACTTTCAGTTCTTTACTGAAGTATGCATAGAGGACAAAATGCAGTGGTTTTTTTATTGTTTTTGGCAGTTTGAAGGCAAACTTGTGAGACTGAATTTCTAGACCCAGTTCTGTAGTGATGCATTTGGCTGCTGTGATACACTGTCATTTCTCAAAGATATAAGGAGTAAGGCAGCAAAGAATCAAGAAAATGTTTCTCTTAAGGATTTTATAACCACCTGTACTCAAATTATTAAATGTGAAGGCAAGACTGCAGCATGAGTACTTCAGTGGGACTTGAAGCAACCTCAGAGCAAGGCCATAAATTGTTTCCCTTAAGTTGTAACAAAGTACATTGTATAACATTGTACTTGATAGTGGTCCACATCAGCCTTTTGGATATGCTGGTCTCTTTAGATCAGAGTTAACTTTGGTCAACTGTAATTACCTCTGAAAGTTATGAAAAACTACTCATTGTGAACAAACTTCAGCTTTTGTGTCTATAGCTCAAATCTTGGAGCTGTGGAGATTTTAAGTGGCTATCCAGCACCAGAGAGAATGTGTTTCAAGTGTCCTTAACTTTCAGAGTTGAGTAGAATGATTAATCAAATAACTGATCATCGGGACATGGGATTGATTTGATCAATTTGCATGTGTAAAGATCTGTAAAATTGTGGTGTGATTACTATACCAATGTGCCTGAGAAATTATCAGAATATGTGGATTAACTATAACTATATATTTGGTATTGAATAATTTGTACAAGTATTAGAATTCATATTCCAGAGCTGTATATAGATTATTAAAGCATAAATAACGTTGTTAATGCCTCACAACTTCCCTGTGAGGGTGCTGAGGCTGGGGCACAGGTTGCCCAGAGAAGCTGTGGCTGCTTCATCCCTGGAAGTGTCCTAGGCCAGGTTGGGGGTTTGGAGCAACCTGGGGCAGTGGAAGGTGTTGGGGTTGGAACTGGAGGATCTTTGAGGTCCCTTCCAACCCAGGCCAATCTATGATTCTGTGATAATATATACTTAAAATCAGATTGTGAGGTGTTATTATATAAATACACTTTTCTAGCCTGAGGTGGGGCAAGGTGTGCTCTTGGAGATGGAGACAAGGACAGCACATCCTTTATTACCTTCCTTCCCACACCAACAATGGAATTTCACCATGGGCACCTGTGAGTAACCAGCAGGATGCCCTAAGCCCAGTTTAAAGCAGCTGAGCAATAGGGCAGCAGGTGTCAGTTCTTGCTGGCACCAAAGCAGTACTTTCAGGTGGTTGTGTCAGTGCTGCTCAGAATTCCAGAAAGGAACAGGATTAGTCCTGCAGCCAGGATTCATGGTTCAAAGGATGGCAGGTAGGCAGCAAAATGTGCTGATGGAACCCCCCCTCACATGGCCAGGGAGGGACACAGGCTGTACCTCAGCAGGCCTGTGATTCTGAACCTCATCCTAATTTGTATCTTCTGTGTCTTTTCAGGGTGTTGATGATGCCTTCTACACATTAGTTCGAGAAATCAGAAAACACAAAGAGAAGATGAGCAAAGATGGTAAAAAGAAGAAAAAGAAGACAAAGACAAAGTGTATAATTATGTAAATACAATTTATCCTTATTCTTAAGAAGTGCTGAAGTAATTTTGTACATTACACTAAATTATTAGCGTTTGTTTTAGCATTACTTTACTTTCTGCTTCATGATCCTGTTAGCTTTACCTGAATGCTTGTTTTAAATGACAGTGGAAACTTCATTCCTCTTAAAGTGCCAGTATTCTTTGACTGTTGGTTCTTGAACTAGCAATTCCTGTGAAAAGAAAAAAAAAAAACAACAAAAACCCAAAACAAACAAAAAAAACAAACCCACAAAAAACCTAAGAACTGTCTTAGGACTATTTGGTGCATGCACAGTTGCTAACTTCCTATTTTTCTTACTGATTGTGAACTTATGTTTTGTGTACAAAGCAAACAAATGATGCTCTATACATTTTAACATCTCCTCTGAATTTTTGGGTTTATAAATTTGGTTGGGAAAAAGGACTAGTTAGCAAAAGAAACTTTCATTTCAGCCTTTCCTTTATTTTAGATTGATTGCAATAGAGAGAGACCAGAAGCCTTTATAGTCTTCCTGTAGATTTTGCTTCTAGGCATCTAGTCTTGTAGCATTTCAGATCAACTTTAATGAATGTAAAGAGAAAACTTTCAAAAAAATTTCACTGCAATTTGTCACGGTCACTCCTTAAATACTCTATTTTTTCTATAAAAAATTTAAAAAAAAAGAAAAAATCTAAAAATACAATGCACACCTGGCAATGGAAAAAGTAAAAGTTCTAATTAGGTTGATTTGCTATTGTTAATGCGTTGCTTTAAGAGCTTCACTGACTTTGTGTCTGAAGAGCAAGATGAAATCCCGCTGTGTCAAAGCTTTGAGTAGCTTTGTTCAGTAGGGTTAGGATTTTACCCTGGGTGTCCCTAGGAAATACTAGAATGCCTTAACAGAGAAGTTGATTTAAATTCTTAGGTTTATTCATACGTAGGCCCAGAATTTACATAAGAATTAAATCAAAATCAGTCTTAAATTACGTAGTGGAGTAAAACCATTCTTCCCCCCCCCCCCCGCTAAGAGTGGCATTAAATGTTTCCAGATGCCCATTTTGTGCAAAATAGGGGAGAAATTCTAAATTCCAGCAACATTAGATGAGTGAATGAAAGAGTTGAATTTAGCTGCTTCATGCAAATAATTTGGAAATCCACTATGCCATGGAAATGGTGTGGAATTTGCACAATCTTGCATGGAACATGATTTCCAGAGTCAGTGTTGTTTGTGTGATATCTGTGAAGTACTGATTCAATGGTTGGTGAGTAGCATTCCAGTGTCTAGACTGTCATGAAGCTACGCCAAGAGTTTAATGTTGTCTTTCTTTGTGATTAAATTCTCTTGTGATTTTTGTTCTTCTCTCCCCCCACTTTTTTTTTTTCCTGATTGGAATTAATGTAGGATTTTTGAGGAGCTTTTACTTTTTGGTACTGCAGTAGCCTAGCTATCCACTGAAGTACGAGCCAGTAGTTGCAGTATTTCCAGTTCTTGGTGTCTCCCTGTAAATGTAGAGTTGTTTCAGGAGAGCTATGGTTCCTGAAGGTGCACTTCTCCACAGGAGCTAACTCAGCTGCAGAGTGACACTGGAAGGTGTGACTCTGGTGTACCCAAAAAATAAAACACGAGATACTGAAGTAGAGTAGTTCAGGACACTGGAAAATTTGGAACAGGGAATAGCAGCATTGCCATAACCTAAGGTATTCCATGGAATTTTTACACATGTATATAAAAATTGGACTGTGTAACTTGGACCATTTCTGTGAAAAGTATTATTTTGCTTCTACAAAAAAATCAGAGTGACTGTTGTAGGTGGGGACCTGCAAAGCTGGCAGGGAACACAGTGTCTGAATTGCTCCATATTCTTTAATTCCATTGTGTCTGGGAGAAATCAGGCATTTTCTTGCCTGTGCCCCCTCTTCCCAGCCTTCACCAAAATCCAGACCCCTCCACTCTCTTGGGTTTCCTGCGGTCAGGATGACCCCAAGAGTCCTTTTTTCCCAGCCCGATGGTTGAAGGAGTCGGAATCCCTTGGCTCTGGTTTTCAAGGTTGTTGATTGTCTCTTATCTAAAACATGCTCTTTCTGACTCGCAGAGATCTGTTCAACAGGTCTGTCTGAGGCACACTGCCCGCCCTTGTGCTGGTGTCAACATTTTATACTATGAACTACATGTACTTTATTTGCCGTTATTTTCCAATACCTGTCACCTGTGTTAGACTGTCTACTTCTACTCTAAACCAATCCAAAAGTAGCATCACACAGAAGATGGAGGCTAGGAAGAAGGAAGGAGGACAGGACAATGCCCAAATCCCTCCCTCTTGCCTCCTAGACCCCTATAGTAAAATCCTCAAAATTCCGCTTTTTCAGCCTGTGATAAATTCATTATCATTCTACTTAAACTTTGTGACTTATAATTCGTCATACAAGGTTGGTAATTTGCTCCATGGGTTAAATCGAAATCCCAAGTCTTTTAGTCCTTTAGAAGGAAGTCTTTGGCTTCCTTCTAAAATTCCCCAGCCCCCTGCCAGGGGCTTGAGCCATCCCGGGCACCCAGAGGGATGTCCTGGGTTCCGACACCACTCCTCTCAGCTTCAGTGTGAAATCTAAGTTATGAAATATTCTGAAAAACAGGAACAGGAGAACTTAACTTTATATTGTAAGGACCAATAAGGAGTAAGAACAGATTCTTAATGTCACAAAATGTTTCAGAGCTTGCAAGGTTAAAATGTGTTGGAGACAGTTACTTGCACATTTTATACACTCTTCATAATAGACGAAGAACATAGCAAAAGTGGGTTGTAAGCCTTGAGCAAATAGAAGTAATCTTAAGGTTATTTTAATTTTGGTAACTGAGTCACACTGCATGTCAAATTAGGGCTGGTCAAAAATTCTGATGTAAATTTAACTTAAAGCTGTTAGGAGACTTTATAGCCGAAATATCTTATTCATCAAAAGCGGGTTTCTATAGCTCTACTATAAAGCTATGTATGAACCAATGCTGGGGTTTTTCAGCAAAAGTGAGCTGTAGCTGCCAGTCTAATTAAATTAGTACAAAATCCATTTAAATTAGCCCTTATTTACTTGAAAAAAACCCAACCCCATCCTTGCCACTGTTGTGCAGTTTTGTCTTCCTGCTTGTTGAGATTTGGTGAAGCACTTTGGATTGCAATTGCAGCTTGCACAAGTTGCTCCATCATCACTGCAGTGTCCTGCCCTGTTTGAGATGCTTCCACAGAACATCCCTGGGTGCTGTGTCCTGAGAGCAGCTCCTGAGCAAGCCTAGGAGTCACTGCCCATGTCACCACATCAAACTGCCTTGTGTCAGGGAGTAATACCTTCTTACAGTAGCTATATGTAACTTTGCTAAATACCTGGATCCTTGGTTTGCTCCAAAAGGAATTATTCTGACCAGTTTCAGTGCCCTGAAATTTTTTTGCTACTCTTCTGCTGAGTGGGCTTTGTTGCAGTAACAGGATAATTGGTAAATACTGACACACGCAATCTTCTGCTCTTGTCTAGACTATGAAGCAATACAATTATTACCTTCAAAGACCATCAAACTGTAAAACAAATCATTGTGTCTCAAGTTTACATAAAGCTACAAAGATGGTAAATCTTTCCTAACATTTCTTTATTCCACTGTCTTGTGTTTTCATGTTGAAAATACTTCTGCTTTTTCCTCTTGAGTGCCAACTTCTTACTAGAATGACTTCTTAATGTAATATGTTTACCTGGAATGTATTTTAACTATTTTTGTATAGTGTAAACTGAAACATGCACATTTTGTACATTGTGCTTTATTGGATGTGGAACATATGCAGTGTGATCCAGTTTTTCCATAATTTGGTTGTGTGACCTAGGAATGTTGGTCATGCCAGACATTAAGTTAAAAAAAGGAAAAAAAAAAAAAGACCACTGTTTGTTTTAAAATTTTTAATGTTTTTAGGAGTATGTGCTGTGAGGTGATCTGGAATTTGTCATTTTTTTGTCAAACTGTACTGCTCCTATTTATTGTAATGTAATAAAAAAATAGTTATTGTGTCTGTCCCAGTTTCCTTTTCCTCTGCAAGAATTTCAGGTAACAGAGCATCCCACAAGTTCCATGTGTTTGGCAGTTGTCCCCTAGTCTTTCTTGCACTTCTGCTGGTGCTGCCTGTTCCAGAGCTGCTGTCCTTGCCCCCCTTGGTGTCCCTGTCTTTGAGAGGGGTGGCTGCTCAGAGCAGGTGGAAGTGCAGAGGAGCTCAGCTGATGTGGAAGGAGTTTTTCCGTGAAAAACGTCAGACTGGTGGCAGAAACTGGAGCATGTGCATTTCATTACAAGGTACTGTACTCTGCCATCACTTTTTAAATTTTGTGAGGATGGTGCTGAATCCCCCACCCCCCTCCTCCTTAGGCCAGCTGTAATGTTCATTCGGCACCTGGGCTGAGCTCCTCTGGAGTTCTTCAGAAACAGCTCCCAGGAGTTTATACTGTCTGAAGAGCTCCTGCTTTGTAACCAATAGCCCTGGAAGCTTATTTTGCCTGCATGAAGAAATACCCCCAATGGAACAGCATTTTTGCTTTTGAAATTTCAAAGGAAGTTACCAACCTGGACTGTATTCAGGATGGAAGATTGCTGTGACTAAACCCACCTCACTTGTGACCCTATAAAGAGTAGCCTGAGTGAGGCCCTTGGAGCTCTCCTGGACTGCAGTGGGCAGTGACCAGAAGTCTCCCTCTGTGTGCAGCCCCTCAGAGCCAGTGAACTCCTGTTTGCTATTTGGAGAGCCAGCAGTGACAACAGAGCATGGAATGATGCCCCCCTTCGTTGAGGCTCAACCCTTCAGCCACTGACAAGATGCAAAGGTATCCAAGGTAAGTGCTTCAGTGAATTCCAGGGAAATTTTATACCTCATACATACTCCTTCGGGACTGTTTGTGAGTGTGGATATGCTACAGAAAATCTACTATGGATAGTGTTCTCAGAGATTCTAAGTACTGTAGATTGGCAAGTAACTCAGGCCTATGAGTTGCTGTTGTGCTTATAGGAAATTCTGTATGAATCTTTAGTTAAATTGTTTTAAATTAAACTGGACTAAGTACTGTTAAGTTTAAGTGCTGTTAAACCTTCAGGTATAAATCACTGGTCAGATCTGGGGCTCAGTTCAGCAGCGGGGGATCCAGTCTGAACTTAGTGACTCACTGGGAGCATCTCCTTATTCATTTTATCCTTACCCTTTTCCATTCTTAACCTTTTTGTATCCCCAGCATCCTCAGAGATAAGTTTTGGTTGATTTTGGTTTTGATTGATATTAGTTTGTGTTTTCTCTGTGTGCTTTAACCAGCTAGTAAATAGTGCAGTGAACCTTGTTGAATGGACTCGGTCACACTTTTATGTTTTTAGCGGTTTTTACCAGTTTTGCTGATGCCTTTGCTGGCAATTTTTTGACCTTAAAACACTCTTTAGCGCCAGTATAAAGACTTGCTACTGCCAACAGCTCTACTGCAGTGATTCCTTACTTGTATTTCAAACATTATTTTTCTCTCTAGTCTCATTTAGTTGGTGGAAACACCAACCAACCCAACAGAGTATCAGCTCTGACACAAGTATGAGTTGAGCCAAGGCCTACAGAGACAGCCTGGAGCAAACAGCCACAGCCAAACTTCTCTTCCAGAGGCAAAGGCCAAGTTTTCTATTCCTGCTGCAGCAGTTACACACCAGCAGAAATCAGCAGTAGCAGGAGTTGTCTTCAGGGCCCAAGTGCTTAAAGCACTGTTGTTCAAACTCACCCCTTTCCTGACCCCACAGCTGTCTCCCTGATGTAGCAAGGTGGCGCTTCTGCAAGGTGAGCAGATGAGGTTAAAAACTAAGAATTTACTTTCACAGAATCACAGAATAGTCTGGGTTGGAAGGAACCTCTGCAGACAATTTAATCCAACTCCCCTGCCCAGGCAGGGTCACCTGGAGCAGGTGACAGAGGAAGAAGTCCAGGTGACTTTGGGGTCTCCACAGAGAAGAAGACTCCACACCCTCCCTGGGCAACTGTTCAGGGCTCTGCCACCCTCTGTACAGAAATTCTTCCTCATGAGGTGGAACTTCTTGCTTTACATTTATGGCCATTGCTCCTTGTCCTGTTGCTGGGCACCACTGAAAAGAGCCTGGCACTGTCCTCTTGGCACCCACCCTTGAGATATTTATATGCATTGATGAGATCCTCTCTCAGTCTTCTCTGGGCTAAGCAGGCTCAGCTCCTGCATTCCCTCTTTATAAGAGATGACCCAGACCCCTCATGTTTATGGCCTCTGCTTGATCCTCTCCAGTAGCTCCTTGTCTTTCCTGCACTGTGGAGACCAGAACTGACCACTCCCTCTCCAGGGCTGCGAACCTCACTTCTGAGAGGGTGCTCATTTCCAGTCCAGGTGACTTTGGGATCTCCACAGAGAAGACTCCACACCCTCCCTGGGCAACTGTTCAGGGCTCTGCCACCCTCTGTACAGAAATTCTTCCTCATGAGGTGGAACTTCTTGCTTTACATTTATGGCCATTGCTCCTTGTCCTGTTGCTGGGCACCACTGAAAAGAGCCTGGCACTGTCCTCTTGGCACCCACCCTTGAGATATTTATATGCATTGATGAGATCCTCTCTCAGTCTTCTCTGGGCTAAGCAGGCTCAGCTCCTGCATTCCCTCCTCATAAGAGATGATCCAGACCCCTCATGTTTATGGCCTCTGCTTGATCCTCTCCAGTAGCTCCTTGTCTTTCCTGCACTGTGGAGACCAGAACTGACCACTCCCTCTCCAGGGCTGCGAACCTCACTTCTGAGAGGGTGCTCATTTCCAGCAGAAACAGATTGTTCAACGTGGAGGATTTTGAATCAGGTTCATCTTTCAGGTTACAAGCACAGCACCTTGAACTGACACCCAAACACACAGCTATGGTGTAAGAGTTTCTGTTCAACACATACATTGAAGTGAAACAAAACAGTGCTGTGCAACCACTCCTTCCTGCAAAATCCTTTCACACCTGAAGTTTTAGTTTGGGGAGGTCAAAAGCAGCACAGGAAAACCTATTACCTATAACCTACACACCCAAACCCTTCAAGTGACTTCTGGTGGGAAAGCAGCTCCTTCATTTATGCTGTAGAGGGGTTGGAAGGATTTACATGTCACTTCTTTGCAGTTAGAGCTCTTTTATTGTTACCTTTCCTGGGTGTGTGTGGTTACAGGCACAGTCAGGGCTTGTCATCACTGTAGTAGCGCTGCTTCATGGCTCGGTATTTCCTCAGAAAGTACAAAGCCTCCAGCTCCTTTATAACAAATTCTCCCCGGGCAATCAGCTGCTTAATTTTTTCAGGATCTGTCTCATCTTTGTTTTTTAGAAAAGCTGCTTTCAAACGGCTTCTGAAGTAGTCTGCTCCTTTGGGATACTCCCTTCCAAGGTACAGCAGCTTGGAGAGAAAAGAATAATGTGTTTTTAATTAACTGAGTGCACAGTGAAAGGGGATTTATTTTCTGGTTAAGGAAAGTGCTGGTGGCATTTAAGACACTTACATTTTTGTACAGTTTTATCACTTCACCTCTTAAAGAATTGGCCATTCTCACATTTCAGTGAACTCTGTCCTTGTGTGATTTTTTTGGTTTGTTTGTGTTTTGTTACCTGAAGGATAATCAATTTGAAATTAGCCTTCTCTGGGAGTCAGTAAACCGCCTCAGCCTTCCTAAAACTTCCATATCCTACCAAGCCCGTTTGCTCTGATTATACTGTCTCTTCTTTCTTTTTGTTTCCTACTTTTTATTCTATTTAGTTTCTCATTGTCTTCTCCCCTCCCCCCTTCAAACAGAAAATAAACTTCTAATAACTTTCAACAACTGGGACACTTAGTGCTGTTCATTGGTTGCTTTCTCATACCCTTACAATTCTGCACCTGCTGGCCTGGCTGCTTCTATGGTGTGCTAAAAAACTGTATCTACATATATATACACATATAAAGTGGTAAAGATATCTAAATAGAATACATATTTATGTATTTTATGTATTCATATAGCAGTGTTTATAACAACATATTTTGATGTGTTTATTTTTATCTCCATATGTATTTAGGTATTACATATTCCTATATTGTATATATAGGTATATGCATTTTATACATATACATTTATATTCCTGCAACTGTCACATTCATCAATTTTCCTTTTTTAAGGACTCTTCAAGTGCATTACAAATTGAGTCCAGTGTGCCCCGGCAAAATATAAGGATAAGTGACAAAGTAACTGACTTTTATTTCTGTAAACACAAAATCACAGAATAGCCTGAGTTGAAAAGGACTTTAAAGATCATCTCGTCCCAACCCCTGGCCGTGGGCAGGGACACCTTTCACTATCCCAGCTTGCTCTGAGCCCCGTCCAGCCTGGCCTTGGAAGGTGCCAGGGACGGGGCAACCAAAACCAAATCACAAGCGACTGGAATCCAATCCAGCTCCCGCTACGGGGCCTCCCCGGGCCGCCACCTCCTCCTGGCTCTGCCTGCCGCCCTGCTACCCCCGGAGCCGTGCCCGGTTCCCCGCGGCCCCCGGCGAGGCCGGACCAGGATCTCACCCGCTCCTCCCGGAACCGCCGCGGTGCCGCTTTACGGCAACGCCGGGAGCGCCCGGCCCGAGCTGCGCCTGCGCGGCCGCCGGGGCTGCGGGCGGGGCCTGGGGGGAGCCGCGGGAGCCTGAGGGACGCGGGCCCCGCCACGGCACCGGCATCCTGAGGGACGCGGGCCCCGCCACCCGCGGCGGGACATGGTGGGGCGGGGAAGGGGCCTGGGATACGGCTTACGTGGTGGGATGGGGAAGGATGAGGTGGTGGAGTAAAGCGGGATGTTCCTTGTTAGCTACCCAAGTCCCAGGAGGTGGGAAAAAGGCTTTGAGGCTGAAAGAAGCACCTGAAGGACGAGTTATCTTTTGTGAGAGCCCCGATGTGAGTCCTTGTGCCGTGGTTTGCTGCTGTGGTTGCTCCGTGTGGAACCAGCCGGGAGGTGGCTCACACTTCGTTGCCAGAATGGCAACATCCGTGGTAGAAACTAAATTCCAAGAATAATGTGTTAGGCTAATTTTTTGCCACGTTGAAATTCTTGTCATTATCGTTTTTCAATAGATGATCACATCCAATTGTAGCGGAATAATAGTATTTTTGTAATTATTCCTTGCTACCTGATACATTGTTTTCTGATGTTCTCTTTCCTTTTTCTTCCCCTTCTAATCTTTTAGGGTCCAAAAGCAAAAAAAAAGGTAGGTAGGCAGAAACTCGCTGTAGTTCACTGTTGTGTTTATTTTTTTTAATCTGATTTTTTGGTTTTTTCCCTGAGACAGCTGGCCAGGGTTAATGAATCTGAAGGAGGGAGAGGTGTTTCCAGGACACCAAGCTTCTGTGCCTTTAGCAGGCAAGCCAAGTGTTCCTGCAGCGCTGCTGGAGGGAGCATGGCCAGTGCAGCCAGTGCTTGTTTGGCTTGGCAACGGGTGTCCAGGCAGAGAGGCAGTGTCCTGGCTCTGTCCCAGCCATGAGGTGGCAGCCGGACCAGGGCAGTGACTGTCCCCTGTGCTGGGCACTGGTGGGGCCACACTTCGAGTCCTGTGTCCAGTTCTGGGCCCCTCATTGCGAGATGGACATTGAGCGGCTGGAGCGTGTCTAGAGAAGGGAAGGGAGCTGGGCAAGGGGCTGGAGCACCAGGTACAGCTGGGGTGGGGGGTTGAGCCTGGAGAAAAGGAGGCTCAGGAGGGATCTTCTGGCTCTGCACAACTCCCTGACAGGAGGGGGCAGCCGGGGGAAATCGGGCTCTGCTCCCAGGGAACAAGGGAAGGATGCAAGGAACAGCCTCAAGCTATGCCAGGGGAGGGTCAGGTTGGACATCAGCAGGAATTTCATCACGGAAAGGTTTGTCAAGCATTGGAAGGGGCTGCCCAGGGAAGTTTGGAGTTGCTATCCCTGGAGGTGTCCAAGGAAGGCCTGGACATGGCACTCAGTGCTCTGGGCTGGGGGACAAGGTGGGGATTGGGCACAGCTTGGACTTGATGATCTTGGATGTCTTTTCCAACCTGAATGCTTCTGGGATTCTGTTATTTGGGTGATAGGCTAGACACAGAATAAGGGGCGTGAAGGGACAACAGGCAGAAGTCCATAGGAAACTGAGTTGCATAAATTGGTCCTGTGAGTTATTCTTAATTCAGTGATAATGAATTTATCTACCCCTCCCTAGCTGTGCATCTTACTCTTCTCAGTGCTCTGTTAAGTCATAGGAATGTGAAAAGAAGTTGACTAAAACATGATTTCAAGTAATTGAAACAAGCAGGTTTTCCATTTTCAGTTCATTTAAGTGAAAAGAACAAATTCTTCCCTGAAATCCTAATGGGTAGAAGTGTGAGTTTTACTGACTCTATTTTGGGATAATTTTGCAAATGAATGCTTTGATACCAAATGCAATAAGATGCGCACAGACTCTGGTAACACTTAATTGTCACCATTGTATTTGTCCCAGCTTCATGACAATCTCTGTACTCAATGTTGCACTTATGTATATATTTATGCCAATATATTTATTGCCATGCCAAGTAGTGTGGACTGAACAAGTAGTTATTTATATCTGAATGTGTGATAGTCAAAATCAAAGTGTGAAATAAATGTGTATGAAGAAGGAACAGTAGTCAGATAATTTCTGAAAACCTCAAATTTAAAATATAGTTACTCTAGGATTATGCTGGAGGTGAACAGCGAACTGTCTGGAGTGAGATTTTACAATAGAAAAGAGAACTCTTTGCTATTTTGTCTTGTGAATTAGATGCTTCTAAATGCCAGGCTTGTCCCACAATACATTTTCCAGTATTTTCTAAAATATTTGAAGTTGTAGCATCTACTTTCTTAGCAGATCTGCCTGCTATTCAATTTCTACATTAAACCAAAATATTTTAATATTCTCATGTTGTCTCTGTGTTTGGGAATGTCTAGCATAGAAAAATACATTAATTTTAAGACCTTATAATAAAAAAGAGAAGAAAAAAATTTAGTCCAGAGTATGCATTACTATTCTGGGGCCTTCATTGCCTGTCTAGGGAGTCTAAAATTTTAATTGAGGGATCACATTGGAAGGGAAAAGTTATAGAGTTATAGAACTGCCAAACAGTATTAAAATAATACTGATATTTGTTTTCCTCTCCCTTACTGCAAATGTGAAATCCAATGGCAAAAAGGGAAAATCTAAGAAAGAAAAGGAAGCAAAGCTGAAAGGTACCGTGCACTTCATTTAGAGGGAATGTGATAGACAAAATCATTCATTTTAAATAAATGGGCAGAAGGTAACACCCTGAACTAGATATGAATTGCTATCTCTGTTTCCCAAATGGAAATGTTCTTCCCTCTTTCCTGGTGTGGGCCAAACTCCCTGTTCCTTGATGCTGCATCTCACTTCTACATCAGAGCAATACTCTTCTCTAGTTACTCCTACTGCACTTAGGAAGTTGGGAAGAATTAACTTGCCATTAATCCTGGTGGGGGCTTGGGCGTGCTGGTGACTGCCAGTAAGTGACTGCTAATCACTGGTAAGCTTTTGTGATGGGAGTGGAAGCTTAGGTGGCCACAGGCAGATTTGGGAGCTGCTGCTGCTCTTGCCTCAGTGCAGCACACAGTTGACATGATTTACTTGGAGGTGATGACATCAAGTGACTGGGAACATCTGGGTTGAGGCACAGGCTATGCAATCTTAGGCTGAAGGCTTAGTGATTGAATGAGTTTTAGTTTTCACATCCTCTCTAATTTTCTAGTCCCTATGGCAGCAAAGAGAAGCCAGATCTGTGGAGTAGCAGATCCTGAAGTGGATTTCAACGAAAAAACAGCTGTAAAATTGAAATTGTAGGAAACCAGTGGTTGTAGGAAAGAAGAAGAGGAATTTGGGGTTAAAGCACTGAGTTTCACTCAAGATTTTGGATTAAGAATCTGTGTCCTTGAAGCTGTAGATGGAGAGAGCACTCCTGCTGCTGCACTTACTGGTTCTTGATTCCAGTCTTGTCCTCACAGCCTGATAGGGGCAGTGCCAGAGACTGTGTGTTTTAGTAGTACTCAAATTAATTTGGATCAATCTTCATATGGGAGATTTCTGTGCAGTGAAAGATAAACATTTATGTTGCTCATTTTATACTGGTTTTATCATTATAGCTGGTAACCAAATAATATCTTAGATTTTATTTAGGAAAGCATGGTTATTCCCCTGATCTCTTTCCCAATCCTCAGCTGAAGCCCTATTACGAGCTCAACAAGAAGAAGAAGAGAGACTTGAAAGGGAGAGACTGTATCGAGAGCACTTGGAAAAGCTTGAGGCAAAGGTTAGTTTTTTACTCAATGAAAAAATCAAATCCTATTTCTAAACTAGAGACAAGGCCTGTAAAAGACCAGTAATTTATAGGAATTGATTTTCTTACGCACTTATTGTTGGGAACAATATTGAGGAAATGTTCCAGTTTTGATAAATTTAAATACATTACCTTTTGTCATATGTGTTTCTTAAGTTTGGTTAAATGCCTTTTTTTTTCCATTTCCACTGTACTTTCAATTGAATGTATTTTTCGTATTCCCTGTGAGGATGTTTGGTACAAATTCCTTAATTAGTTCCTTGTTGGAACAGATGCAGTGATTTGTATTTGTACATATATGTGTGTGTATTAGACTACGTATATTTATTTTTCTGAACAGCCTGGCATTCAGAACAAAAACTGATTGATGATAGATAACTATTTTTGTGTTTAAAAAGAAAAAAAAAGAGATTTACAACAAGCTAATTTTTTTAAGAGTCACTCTTGTCTACTCCTCTTGTACTTCACAGAATATATTTTTTCCTCCTAGGGAGAAGATGACCTTAAAATTATAGAAACTAAAAGGGAAAAAATAAAATTATCTTGCATGTTTTTTCCAAGTTATGCTTACATTTTTTAGCAGCTCCCATTACAGCTGTCTCCAGGATGCTGATACGGAAACTGTTGAAGTGAGAGTTTGCAATCATATGTCACATTATGTTTATCATATGGCTCAGCAGCTACTGTGATGACAATAACATATTACAAACTACTGCAGTCTTCTCAATTGGATGTTTCATTAAAGAAGCAAGTTTTCAGTGTTTGGATTTATTTATTATTTAAATAATTACTCGTTTAAATGTCCCCAATTTGTTTCTTCTGTGTAAAATAATTGTAAGAAATAAGCCAAATATTTAACTGCTGTTTGATATATGTATTTTTTTAACAGTATCAAGGAGAGAGGGAGTCTGAACTAGCAGAACTTAATTCACTGGAACTGAAGTTTCTTTCTGCACAGCAGTGGAAAATGGATTACAGAGAACAAGCCAAGGTAATCTTTTTTGCCAAAATCTGCCCAGAGGTTTGGCAAGGAAGAGACTTCAGGAGCTTCCAGTTCTTGAATGTAGGTGTGTGCTATGACTACATTTTGAATTCCATCTCAAAGCAATGACAGGCCATGCTTACTCTCTTATCTTCTTTACTTTGGAGTACACAGAAAAGAAATGTGGGCAAAGAGGAGCCTGTTTGGTGATCAAAGTATGAATGCCCCACACCTCATCCCAACAGTCACGAGGAATTGTAATTTCAGATGTTCTGGTACCTGTTCTTCCTCTTTTATTTCTTTAATTAATTCTGCTTTTAAGCATTTCACCAAAAAAGTTCTGCCAGGGCTTAAAAAGAAATTCTGTAGAACATTTGTTCAGTGGCTCCTAGATATGAAAGGTCATGATTCATAGAGAGAGGTTTGCTAGATTTTCGAAGGATGTGGCACAAACCCAGGTCAGGGCTGGAAATGTCTGAAAATGCAGCTAAAAGTTGATGTCTGCAGTTTAGGTGACGTCCATGGTGGTTGTATCATCACCCAATGGCATTATGTACCTGTCAAGTTCAATTTGAGGTGGTAAGGTGTGGAAATAAGTAGATTTAACTCTTGAGAATCTTACAGACACATCACTCAGTAACAATCTGATAATGACATTTGGTCAGGTAAGGAACCGAAGGTTTAATGTCCTACAGGCTTGTGGACACAAGGATTTTGTCTTTGTCTTGTGTTATTGCTTAATCCTGTTAAAGTCCCTGTAGAACAACTCCACAATCATGGATAGCCCATGTTAGAGAGGACTTCTGAAATTCTGGCCGTTCAGCCTTCTGCACCAAGCAGGGCAAAGTCTGAAGTTAAATCAAGATGCCCAGTTGGGTTTTGAAATATTTAAAAGTTGGAGGTACCCCAGCATCTTTGACAGCTTTACCACTCTCACTATAACCGTTTTTCTCTGAATGTAATTGGCATGTTACAGCTTGTGATCATTGCCAGCTGTTGTTTGTGGATGTTTTTGACAAACTAGAACTATTGATTTTAAGGTAAGTCTGATAAAACACTGGTAGATTATGGGAAATACCAGAGTTTCTTTTAGTCTGTTGTTAAGATTATTTAGGATAAAATAAATATATAATACCAAACACTGAATTTTCATATATATTTCTGAACAATTTCAGTTTAGATGAAGACATGCATTTGCACCTTACCATGAAATCTATCCCTTTTCTCAAAAAAAAGGAGTGCTGTTAGTGCTGTTAGTTCTAAGAATGTGATGATAAAAGTGAAGCTCTCTTTTAAGTGTGAAGATGTAAAAAAAAAAAGAAATCAGATGTCTTACTCCTGAAAATTGATCAGTCTTCTATACAGCAGTTTCTAGTATACTCAGCACTCCTCTGTTGTTGCTTTGTTTGAAGTCAGTGGGAATGCTGGTGGAAGTGGTTAGGAATGCAATCCTATAGGTCCTTTTGCTTTAAAAGATACATTTTCCTTTGCAATGCTGTTTTCAGTAACATGGGGTTATTAATCTTCAGCAAACAGGGGGGCAGTGTTTTCTTAATATCCTATTCTATGGATCAAAAAAATTCCATTATGGGTGATAAATTGATCCCATGAGCCAATGTTAGGCTTATGTTTGGCATTAAGTGGGTTTAGTCTGCCACTGTTTTTTTCTTTCCACCTCTTATAGGAATGACCAAGAATTGATTTGAAAATAAAATTATTTTTAAAAAACCCTAATCTAGGATTTCACATTTCTACCAGAGGTTTTTGCAACAGAAGAATTGATGCTAGTAAGGAGTAGGAAATCTCCTTCAGAGGCAGAGAAAGGAGGAATAAACGTTGCAGTAGAGGCTCTTAATCAACTTTATTGCCAGTGTAGAAATTTTCAGTTTCCTTGGCAGAATCTGATCTGAGACCCACCTGCCTCTTCCACCTGCACCTTCCTTGTTTCTGTTGTCAGTCATTTTATTCTTCCAGTCCCTCCCTTGTGGCAGGTACTGAATTCATTGCTTTTGTGGAACAGAGCAGAACCCACTGATAAATAGGTATAAACACCAAGTGTGAGTTGGGCAGAAGCATCTTGACACATTAATGTCAAAGTAAACCTTTTTTTTTCCTGGCATAGGGATAGTAAACCAGGTGGTGTTAGAATCCTGTTTAGATGCAGGTGTGAATTTGGCACTATAATATAGTTGTCTTTCAGAATCCTCCTTTTTCTTGTAATAGCAGTGTGCAGCACACTTGTATCCACTTTTCTCTGAACTCTTCTGCAGTGGGAGCACTACCTCAGCTGTGATGGGACTCCTGACCCCACTGTACCTCAGGAAATCAACACTTTCATGAGCTTGTGGCGTGATGACCAAGATGAGGACATTCAGCTTGTGATGAAGAAAGAGGAAGTAGTGTTAAATGTAATGTTAAAACGGTGTATTTCAGTTTAAGCTTAACATATCCTTAACAGCCTCCCTCTAACTCTATTTTTCCCTTTTTTGTGGCCAAATAACTGAAAGACCTTCAACACCTAGAAATTTTTCTTCAATTTTTCTATTTTTCTTAAATTACAGATCTGTTGTCAATCCTGAAGAAGTTGTGTATTGACTTTCAATACGCATTTAAGGGAGTTGTGTGCTGTGTGTCTACACTGAGGTCTAGCATTCCAACATCCATATTCCCTTCCATTTTAAACCAGAGCATATAAGCTCATGTCAGATGTAAATGCTTTGGTGGACAACAGCCTCATTTTGTAACACTTGAACCAGTAAAAATGTCATGTAAGAGCAAAAGTTCCCAGAACTGATTTTTACCAACAGAAGTCACGAGCCATTGATAGCTTGTGAAGCAATTTAAAGCAATCAATGCCTGCTCTGTAAATTTAGGATTTTATTTTCATTTATGCTGACTTTATGGTGTTTTTCAGAAAGTTAAATGGGGTCTTCTGGAAACTGGGGGGAAAGTTGCATGTATAATGCAGGTTTCATTGGGTTGGTTTGATTCTGAGTTAGATTTCTTACCTGTCTATTAAAAAAAAAGGTTATTTTTGTGACCAAAATTTGTTTAGGTGCAAATGAAGTAGGTTTGCCTCATTTTTTATGACAGAACACACAATATTTTAAGGATGGTGTCAAAACAGATACTTTTCCCATGTAAATGTTTTCTAGTTGATTGAGAAGTTGGAGTTTCTTCTGTTGGAGGCATCACCAGAAGAGGTCACAGACAAACAAAGAGACCAGTACCAGGAAGTTATTCTGCAGTTGCAGGATCTGCTTCATCAGAAGTACAATGATGCTACCCAGAACCTGCTCAAAGTGAGATGTACTGCTTCAAAGATGTGATATGTGCACATAAGTTAGCTCCAGGTGTCCTTTAATGATGGTTGGTTCTGTTTGGTCCTAAACTGTCACAGAGATGAGTCTGTGAGTTTCCAAACCATGTTTATAGCACTCACCAGACTTTGTAATTATTCAAAACTCCTGAAAATGTGAACTTTACAGTGGAAAATCTCATCATTAAGTCAGACAAGAATAAACTACTGGGAAATTTTGTGAGACTTGGGGGTGGTGAAACCAAGAGGTGCTGTATGAAATTTGTTGACTGTACCAGAAAACGTAGATGTGAAAAGCAACTCATAAGGTTGCCTTGTACGCATTTTTTTAGTACAAGTTCATGCAATTAAAATATTTTCGAAACTAAGATCTTGGGAAAGGTGAAGAGTACTCAAACAAGAACATGAAATTGTGCTGGAGAGTCAGTTTTCTGAACTGCATGTGTAGGTAGTGACCCTGCTAATCATTAATTCATTAATTAATTTCATTAATTAAGAATATTAATCATATATATAAAGTATGTTTAGCAAGGGAATATTAGTGAAATAGTGAACCAGTTGTATGTGCACAGTCAAAACCCCCTGCAAATTAAGAAATGTTGAATTCTTGTTCACTGAATTTAGGATTAAGCTCCCAATAGAATTAATATTTTACAAGTTTGGTGCTGCCTAAATGATAAAATAATCTGTACAGTGTATCTGGAGAAGGAGTCCATTATTGCTCAGTAAATCCTTTTTTTGTTTGTTTTTTATAATTTAGCCTGAGAATTAGGGAAATAATGGAAGAACCCACATTTGGCAGTACTTCACTCACAGAATTTATGAAGTTAGAGAAAAAAAAGCAATGTAGTTCAAACTTTAAGCAACAGATTTGAGTTTATTACTGTTGTGCTCTAATATATAAATACAACACAGCTGACATGGTCTGGTGTCTTTTCATTTTTACATGTATTTCTTTATTTATTTATTCGAGTAAACATAGATAAATCAAAGTGAAATAACATATTATTTAATTGGCTTTTTTCTTTGTAGATAGCTAGTATGTATGAAGATTCTGAAACTGGGAATATGCACACAGTCCTAAAGGATAAAAACATTACTTTCTGTATTTGGGTCAATCTGAAGAAGAAAGAAAGGTACAGCACACTGAAATTATTGATTTGAAATGAGGCCTGGCTTTGTTGAGTAAACACGAAGAATCAGTTTCTCATAATTTTTTGTTGTTGTTGTTGTTGAATAGCATCTATTCTGCAGACTCTCAGTGCTGGCTGCTGGTAAGAGTGGTTTAGAGATATATAAATTTCTTTATTAAAATGCAGCAGCAGAACCCTGTCACTGCCAGAACAAATTTGGAAGAAAAACAGTAAAGCTCATGCAGAGAATTGAAATTCCTCTGGAAGCAGTGTTTCTTGCTGATGCATTTAATATTTTCTAAGTTGTTTCAGTTTCTTGCAAAGCAGTGAATGATGCTTTGTGCTCAGTTAGAGAAAATACTTTAAAGCCTGGGATGCACTATCATTTCTGAATCTAAGTTTTGTGTTTTTATTGGATTACCATATAGATGGTACGTTTTCAAAATGAGATTTTTGAGCAGACTTCCTACTCCCACTCCATAAATGTAAGGAATAATTTATTAAAAGGACTTTAGCTTGACTAAGGACCTGTTGCTGTGAGTTTTGTTAAGATAAATAGAAGGGTGGATGCTGAGCAGTGTCAGACTGACCTGCAGGAAGAACACATATGGATTAAGTTTTAAGCAGAGAGATTAACTTAAAAATATTCAACCAACAATTAAAAGCTAAGTGTTGCTTTACTGGAAGATTTTTAGGACTTGTGACTAGCTTATCTTATTCAAAAGCAAGTATTATTTGAGTTGTTTTGGAAGGTGCTGAGAGTGATCTAACATAGATACCTGTGCAGGGATTTTCCCAATAAATTAGTTTTACCAGGAATGTAGTTTCTAGAAGAACTGCCATCTGACCCTGCCTCATTATCATCCTGTCAAGACTTATTTTTGAAACTTCTGATCCCCTTGATGCAGTTGTGGCTTTGCTGGAGGGTCTAACAGACAGCTGCCAGCACAAGCACTGTGACATCCCAGCATTTCCCAGACACTGCAACAAATCCTGGAAGAGATTTGACCATTTGTGAGGAAACACCAAATGAAGTGCTGCCAATCTTACCAGGCTCTGTTGCTGTTGTCACTGCCCTTGCCAGGTTCAAGGACCATGTGTTCCAGGAGGCAGGGCATGGCTTTGAGCTGCCCAAATCCCTGGCTCTGAGCAGCGTGGCCATTCGCGTGCTGCACACCCACTACGACCACTTGTCTCCCCTGTGGGTGCAGTGCCAAGGGCTGCCAAGACAGGAGGCCTCAGACAGCATGGAGTTTGCTGAGCATCCAGAAGACACTGGGCAAGGACCAGGAGAAGAGGAGGAGAAAGGCAGGGAGGAACCCAGCGTGCCTGCTGCAGAAGAAATGGGTTCTAAGGGGAGAAAGGTAGGTAAAAACCTGCTCAAAAGATACTCTACACCGCTCCTGTAAACTTCAAGTTTAGTCACACTGTCCTGTGCAGGACAGTGAGATCCTTAGATGTTTCATAGGAAAAGGAAGTTTGTGTCAACAGTGTCATAGTTCTTCTCAAGGGACTGGAAAGATGGAAAGTAGAAAGGGAAGTTTGGACAGTGTGCAGTTGGCTTTTGGTGGTTTAAGAGTAGGATCAAGCATGAAGTGCCATTGCAAGATATTTCTGTAAATCTCTGGCATATATAGATTAATGAATTCTGCAAAACTGACAGCCCCACAAAATCCCTGAAGGAATCCCTTTTTAGGGAAATTTGCAGCATGCAGGCTAAGATTCAGAGCTCAGCAGGTGTTGGCTGTGCAGGTGTCTGGCTGTTCCATGGCTGTGTGCTGACCCTTTGCTGTTAGAGCCTTTTCAAATATGATCTCTGGCTGCCTGTCCTCTTCCTCAGTTATCTTCCATGGAATATGTTTGCTTTAGGTGTGATGGAGATTGCTTGGTTTTGTGTTGTCCATACTGCATTTGGAGTTTTCACCCTGTGTATCACCTGTGACTTGCAGATAAATGCCCTGTGTTCTCTAGCTAAAATTATGCAGAAATAACTGACAAAACATCAAGTTTTAGGCCTTCTTACTATGTTTGGAGCAATTTCATGGGATAATATGAGTGGAAAGGGACCCACAAAGATCCTTGAGTCCAACTCTTAAATGAACAAATTCTGAGATCCATACAGAGATCAAATGAAGATCGAACCTCTGTTCACGATCATGGCTTTTCTCCTTTCCAGTCCCTAACACCTTTGTCATGAATCAGTGCTTGAAATCCTGCTTCTTTTGGTTCCTTTTTTTCTTTTTTAATATAATCTTATATTTTGGCACTTTTCATCTACATTTCTCAGACTTTCTCTAAGCTGCTTCATTTTATTCCCTTTCTTTTTCTTTCCCAGGTCTTGACGCTCTTTCTCTCAGTCCATTTTGTGAATTTTCCTCTTCCTTCTGAAGGCTTCACTTCTCTCAGCTTCTGTCCTCTCACGTCCTGTCCTGTTTGAGGAGATGTGTGTTCTTCCCACATGCTGGCAGGTACAGCCAGAGCACAGAAGGTGCTGTGCCTCCAGAGGAGTCTGCTGTGGCAAGGATGAATCCCTGTCTGCGTTGGGTATTTGTCTGGAAATCCAGGGGAATATTTCTCAGCATCCCCCTGTCTGGCTGTAGCTTGAGCTCCCCACATTCCTGTGTGTAAATACAGTGAAATAGAGTGTGAAAGGGAATAGATACCATTGGCCAGGCACAGGCCAAAGCTGCAGATGGGGTTCTGGCACAGTTTCAGCGTTGGTTTGGATTATGCCTTGACTTACATTTTACTTTGTGCCACTCTGCTGGCTGTAAAATCAGCAAAAACCACAAGTTTTGAGTGCATACTCTGCTGAAGAAGCGTTGGGTGCTTGTTTGGTACTCAGGGAGCTCAAGATGGAATTTGCTGTGGAAATGAAGTAATTACTTTGTGGTTATCTCTAAATCCAGTTCCAAATCAGAAAGTACCTTTACTCAAAATATTTTTGATAGCTAGGTAGAAATTATTTCTCTTAAAACCTTGACCCTGTAGCAAGATTGGTACAAATGTTTCTGTATCCCTTCTCCTTGGGCCTCCTTGTTTGTCTCTGACTAATGGAAAAATGTCTCTTGCTTTTTGTCTAGGAGAGTTCCACCTCACTGAAAGAGACAAGCAATAACACAGATGATATAAAAGAGACAGAGGAGGAAACTGGGAAGAATTCAGATATTTTGGATGTGCCATCGCAAGGTATTTGGTTATTTTTTAAGTGCAGCACTACAAAAGTACTTAGGCTAAGTATTTTATGTGTTAAAAATTGTTCCCTGTGAGTGTGGGGAGGCCCTGGCAGAGGTTGCCCAGAGAAGCTGTGGCTGCCCCATCCCTGGAAGTGTCCAAGGCCAGGATGGATGGGGCTTGGAGCAACCTGGGATAGTGGAAGGTGCCAAGGGAGCTGGAACTGGACTTAAAGGTCCTTTCCAACCCAGGCCATCCCATGATCTATGGAAACACTGCAATATCTGCATGTGAATGGAGCAAAGTTTATAAATATAGGGATGCTTTGATAACATTTGGGTTTTGTTGACATTTCTATTAATGATTGCTAAATCATGTGGAGAGATAACAGGACAGATAGGAAAATGGAGTTTGTCCCCACGCTTGTTTTTATTTATTTTTTTTTATGCTTAAACATGTTTATCATGTTTATATAGATATGTATATTATTATACATATGTTTATGGGTGAGACATACAGTCTTTATGAATCTGCCAGGCTCTGGAGAGATTTACTTCCTCTTTTGATTTACTTCATCATTTGAAAATGATGATTCAAATGCATAATCATGGTAGGTATTGGTGTAGTGTGGGGTGTTGCTGAGTATTACCTGAATGGGTGCTTGAAGTGAGAGGGCCTAATTCTAGGAAATAAAACTGTTTGTCTGTCCCGCATAATTTACAAATTTCTCCAGTATTGTGGTGTTGTCCTTTGGTTTAATAAGAGTGAGTTTTCTTGTGGTACTGGCTTAAATAAAACAACTACAAACAACTATTAGCATAGTTTAGTTCCACTTTACAGCCTTTTTATTCTGGTAAAAAAACAAACCCCACCCCACAACACTTTGGACTGAGCACAATCCAGAGAACCAGTTGTCAGACTAGACCCTAAAAGCAAGGTTTTCAAAAGAATATAAAGGACTTGAGGACTTGGGCCTCATGTGGAGGAATTTGTATTTTATTTCTGTCAGGCTTTGAAAACCCTTACCACAGTATTAGGTGCGGTGGATGTGCACAGATGTGCACAATTATACCTGAGTGTTTTCCAGTTTGTTCATCTGTTTTAGGAAAGAAAGGAAAAACTGCTTTTTCTGGCATGCTCATGGTTTGCAAGCTCTTTCAATCACTTTTGAGAATAGCAGTGAGAGGATGCTTAGTTACCTTAAGTTCAAAACAAGGAGCCAGGTAAATGAGGGTTAAAAACCAGAAATGCAACAATAGAGAGGAGTGACAGTTTCTCTGGATTTACCCTTATTGTGCCACTGTTAAGGAGATAAATTACCTTGGGACAAAAAATAGTTTCTTTAGAAGACACTTATATATTTTTGTATTATTATTTAAAAAAAAACAAGTTAAAGTGTAAGCTACCACTGTAAAATGCACTAAAATGTTTTTTGCTACTTGGTAAGTTTGTTGTTCAGAATAACTGTAAAAGGACATTATGGTGGTGTGTGATACAGTAGAGTAAAACCTCTACAGAATGTAACTAAATCTGACATTAACACCATTTTCACTTCTATTTTTTTTAAAGCTTGAAGACAATTTATAGAGAGTGTTCTCCTTTTTTGATACGGTCTTATTCTCTCAGAGCAAATTTCATAACAATTACAGTAGCTGTTTTTACAGTATTGAACACTTTTTTCTTGATTCCTGTCAACAATAACTCCTCTCCTCCTGTACCATCCCATGTGATGTTTTATGTGGTCTGGTTTGGCTTTTTTAAAGAAAATATTTATGGGCATATTTTCCACAGTGTTTCTGCCTTTTACTAACATTTTCTAACTAATTAAGCCATAAGTTCATACATTGGTGATATATACGTAATTATGCATAGGAAAAAAAAGGAATTATCTTTGTTATCTTTATCTTTGTTATCTGAAAATTGTGTTTCATGTTAAATCCTCTTGCTCTTCCTAATTACCATGTCTTTCACCTTCAGCACATGACTTCTTAGTGCCTTATTTTTATATATCTCTTTATTTGCTTAATTTCTTTGCATATCAATACAATCTTACTAAACCTGTCCAGAATCTACTGTATTATTGCGCTTGTGAAATTCTTCTGTGGGCTCATTTTGTCAGTAAAACCTTATTCCCATAGAAAGCATTTGGAACTGGCTACAAATCCAAAAGCTCAGACCCAGTCCAGAAGTGCTTTTCATTGCCCGGCTCTCTGCCTGTCCTCACGTTTCAGTGAGTGTTGAGGAGCACCAGCAGATGGGGCTGAAATGCTGCAGAGCGAAGCACTTCCAGCACAGAGCAAATACCAGGAGATGGGGAATATCGGTGAGTTTGAGCATCCGGTTAACTCCTGCTGTCTGCTGAACTTCCCAGAAGAGGATGCCCTGCTGCAGGAGGAGCCAGGAGGCAGAGAAGAGGTGCCACAAGTTGTGGATTTGGAGCAGCTGGTGCCCGTGGGGGGTGTGTACCACATCTCTGCCCTGCAGCTGCCACCCCAGGCCCAGGACGTTGGGGACTGGACCATGGTGGAGGTGAGGGAGGACAGGAATCAGCCCCTGGTGCCCCTGAAGAGGTGCTCCTGAGGTTTGTCACTGCTGTCACATGCACTGCACACGAGTTCCTGAGCAGCAAACTAACCAGGCAAGGTTTGCAAATCATCAGTTTTTCTTTCATATGTGAAAGGTGGAAGCACAGTGGTACCAAAAATCACTGCTGATTCAGCTCCAGGCTCTTCAGGCTGGTTGAGGACTGTGGTCACTGGGTTCTGGTTTCCTCTAGCACTGACCTAGCCCACAGATGGCACTATGGAAACCTCTAATAAGCAAAATTCCCAAAAAGCCAAACTCAGAGGGCAGGACTGTGGCAGGGGAAGAGGCCCAGGATGTGCATTCACAGCCCCTGTGACCTCTCCTTCCCTCTTAACACTCTGGGGACAGAGTGGAATTACACCTGCTTTTGCTTCCCCTGCTCCTGGTGTCTGAGGCTGGGATCTGTGAGAAATGGCTGTGCCCACTGGTGGCTTCAGCCCCAGCCTCAGTTCAGTGTCACAGACCGCACCTGAGAGCTCTCAGGGGACACAAGTCTCATCAACAAAGACACTTGCTAAGGAAAATGGAACTGTTAAGTCACCAAGAGAGGCTTTAGCCAGAGCTGGGGTGACAGAGCTTCATGCTCCTCAGAGGCCCCTTGAAAATCAGCTATCTGCTCTGCCAGCTTTTTAATGAACAGCTTCTTCCTGCCTGTAGGGTTTCTTTTGCTCCCTACTGCAAAGGAAGGAACGAGCAACCTCTCTGTTGGTTTGTCTCCACCTGTGAGCTAAAACACATGGTTAAAACCTCCCAGCCAGACAAACACTCCCATGTGTGGCTGGAGAAAGGTAGCACACCCCACTGCTGAAAGCTGCAGTGGCTTTCTCACAGGTTAAATGCATGTGACACACAAATATTACAGTTTGTACTCTGACAATGGCACAGACTTCACCTCACAGTGCATTTCTTCCTGCAATAGGTGAGCGAATATCTCACAGCAGGTTCTGCCAAAGACAACGACTGGGCTTTTTTATGTTCAGTGGTGAAAAAGTACAAAACCTCAAGCTCACTGAATCCAGTGAGGCTTTTTCAGAAGAGCTGGAAGAAGAGTCTGAATTTCACTCCACACTCTACCATATGCTCAAGGATTCTGCCAGCAATGAAGCCATGGATAAAGTGGAAAGAGCTGGCTTCCTGTTTATTGATTCTGTGTATCAGCTGCTTCTTGCTACCCGAGTCTTAGCATACTCTTAGATACTGCATGCTTTCCTTCAAAATTTTATTATCAAAAGCTTTCAATAAAGTTACATTTCAAGTCTTAAATCCTTTTCTATTAAAATCATTGAAACAGGTTCTAAAATGCAAACATTTGTTCAAGCAAAATAAATTCTTTATTCACTTGTGGCTAGATCACTTAGACATGTTTTGTAGAACAAAATTGCTGTCCTTTTGTAAACCTCAGTAGAACTAAGATCCTTTTAGCTACTTTTAAAGATGACTTTTGGCAGAATGGGAAAATGATTTTTTTCATTTCAAGACATGCTTTAAAGAAAAAAAACTTCATTTCCCCCCAAAAATACCCACAACGCAACAAAACAAATCCAGACATGTAAACTAAAATAACACCAGCTTCAACTCCTGTCCTGCAGAGCGTGGCAGCGCAGCCCTGGTTATACTGGGGGAGGGCCGTGGTGGTGCAGTCCTGTGTAGGGCCACAGCAGCTGCTGCAGCGACCTCCAGGAGTCCCCAGTGCCCACAGGGGCTGCATCTGCTGGTCTCTGCAGGGACAGCCCCGTCAGGAAGCTTGTGAGAGCAGCCAGCAAGACCAGGATGGACACGGACACCCAGAAGGTTTTGTTGGTGTTGCAAAAGGAAGCCTTGAAATGGGATGTCCATGCTGGCATCAAATTGTACTTGGGCAGGGCAGGAAAGCACAGAGCCCTTTAGTGTTTCCCCAAAACATGCAACTTTTCCCACCCCACCCCAAAAAATCTTGGAGCAAACTAGATCCCGCAAACTTCAACAGTGACAGGTTGTTACTGTTTTGGGAGCTGTGCAGGGAGAGCTTCTGTTCTGAGTTTAAAATACAGTCAAGAAAGCAAATTCTTGATAAGCTGGCCCAGCTCACCCGTCCACCCATGCTCCCTGTTTCTCACACTGGGTTCCCAGAGAGCATTTCCCAGTCAGGTCACTGCCTGCAATGGTCAAAGGAGAAAAGATCCCAGGGAAGCCATGACATCTCCACTTGCTTCTTTTCCCTACCAAGTACCCTGGAGTGAGTGCAGTGACCCCCAAGGATGGAGAGAGGCCTTGGATGAGGCAAAGGGACTCGAAGAGCCCATTTTCCGGAATGATGCTTGTTTGAAGGTTTGTCTAATATTTGATGAATTTGTGCATTTCATGTGTGGTTTTTCTTTTTAATGGATGTTTGAGTTGTAGGACACTAAGCTTAAAATTAAAAAGGTATTTCCTAACGTATGGCATATTTTTTTTCCGTTTTGTTTTGTGGAAAAAATCTTTTCTTTTCATGCTTTGTACTTCAGGATACACAGAAGCTCTATTGACCCTCTCACACCAAGCAGTCCAAGTGCACAGTAGTTAATTGGATTAGTTGTTGTGTGAAGAGTAATACTTAAATCTGTTGGTGCTTCTATTGGTACACTCTTAAAATTTGGTGTTTCTGTGTACCTGGAGCTTTGGCCACACTTGTGGAGATGTAAAATAAGCACTTGGATTACTCTGGACACGTATGGGAAATGTATTTTAGGAGAAGCCCCTGTGAACAAATTGCTGTTCTGTCGTAGATCTGCAGTAGTGCTGGGTTTGGCAGAGTGCTTGAAGGGTTTGTGAGAGCAGAGCAGGGAATGGGCAAGTCATCTCCAGTAAGCTGATGTCTGTCTCCTTACAGTTACAGAATATAATAGAAATGTAACCCAGCTGTAAGCCTAAAGCCTGTGGCAATAATTAATAGCAATGACTGTACCTTTTTATCTCAAGGTCATTGGCAAGCATGGAACAAGAACTGACCCAGAACTTCTATGAGTCCCTGTGAGATCATGATTTTCTTAAAAACTTTAAAATTAGTCTGAAAAGGAAAACAGTTTTTTTACAAAAAAACCTCACATGGAAAGTGTTTCAAAGATGATTTGATGAGAGATTTGTTGAAACATAGCAACATGCTGGTATATTCTCAAACCTTTCTCCTTTCTCCCACTGTGGGGGACAAGGGCAGAGAGTGAGCAGCCTGGAGCAGGAAAAAGGCACTGTGGGCAAAGGGACCTCCCTGGTGTCACCAGGGCACCTGTGGGGAACAGAAGGGACACTGTGAGGGCAAGTGGAGGTGAGGAGTGGCAGAGTTATGGGAAGATCGAAGTTCATCTGCAGGGAATAAGTATGGAGGTATTTTGGAGGGGAAAGCTGAGGTGATGAGTTCACCCAGCTTGGCCCAAGTTGAGTTTGCACAAAGTGGGACCAGAGGTGAAGGTCAATCCAAAGCCAGCCCTGCTCAACCTCGTAAATTCCAGAATGAATTCTACAAGCTGCACATTGAGGGAGTAAAAATACATGAAAACAGAACCAGGAGCATTCCAAGAGCAAACCAGAAGGGAATCCCATTATTGTGTTGTCATAGCCTTTTTAACAGATCTGGGTGCCTGTTCAGAACAGCCCCTGGCCCAGGAGCTGCAGGCAGCCCTTTATCAACATCCATCCCAGAGCTGCCCGGGCATCCCAGTGCCCATCCCCAGGATGTGTGTTTGGCATGCTGCCTGCCACGGGCAGAGCACTGAGGCACAGCTCCTCCCCTGCAAATACCGAGGACAAGAGGTGCTGCTTCCCTTCCTGGGGCTCCCAGACTCCTCCTGCCCTGCATTCCCAGCCAGCTGGGACACACTGAGGAGCACCAAGGAACATTCCTGGCAGGGAGTGGGAGTCACCAAGGCCTCCATGCAGCTCTGGGCCAGGAAAGTGGCCCCAGCCTCAGCACCTGCAGTGATTTTGGGCTGTGAACACTCACCTGCAGGAAATGCCCCTCTGCAGGTGGGACCAGCCCTGACACTCTCCAGAAGAACTTTGGCCATGGACCAAGTGATCCCTCAGCCTCATTTCTCCCTGGAAATGGATATGGAATGAGTACCATTTACAGCTGTTGGGTAAATCCTGGAAAGGGCAGAAAACCAGGGTTATTGGAAGAATTTTGTGCTGTCATGTCAGGTACCAGCCATGGTGGGACCAGCCCTGACACTCTCCAGAACTTTGGCCATGGACTGAGTGAACCGTCAGGACTTTTCCTGCTCATTTCTCCCTGGAAATGGACGTGGAATGAGCACCATTTACAGCGGTTGGGTAAATCCTGGAAAGGGCAGGAAACTAGCATTACTGGAAGAGTTTTGTGCTGTCATGTCAGGTACCAGTCAGTTCTGCTCTAGAGCCAGTCTAGGGGCTGGTGTGTAAAGCAGCACTAGCCTGAAAGGAGCTACGTTTGCATATGATTTCCCTTGCTGGCAGCAGCCATTTCCATCCCAGGCAGGACCTTCCCCATGAGCCTGAGATTGACTCAGGTGCTTGGAGCAGGGTACTGACAAGGCCAAGATTCTGAATTCGATCCCCACATGGATCAATCACTTATTCACTGTTTGACTTGATGATTCTCGTCGCACTTTCCGACTCCATCTCCTGTGCTCTGGAAATAAAGAGCAAACTGTTTTCACCGGCTTTTTAAACCCACAGGTTTTTCCATTTTGGGGGGTGCGAGGCACAGAGAAAGTGGGGGAGTTGAGGGAGAGCATCAAGTCTCACCCAGCAGGTGGATGAGCGGCTGGAGCAGGACCGAGCCCCAGCGGGGCCCTGGTCACACCGGGCACAGTCCAGACTTGGTCCCAGTGCCTGTCCCGGAGCGGCTTCTCCCGCCCGCGGAGATCCCGGTCCTCACCCCAGCCCAAATCCTTCACCCCACCCGCCAAGCGAGAAGCGGCTCCACCCGGGACCCCAAGCAGACACCGGCAGGAACCGGACCCAGATCTCCGGGCGCAGAACCCAGTGCCGGCTCCACTTCAGCACCTCCAGCCCCGCGCAGCACTCCGAGCAGCAGTCCCGCCGCATCCCGGGACGGACACCCACCACACTAAGCGCAGCGGGTGCAGACCCACGGGGATTTATGGGCGCGGCGGGGCCGGCACAGGTGCGAGGGGCCGAAGGGATTTAAACCGCGGGGAGGGAATTGCGCAGCTATTCGCCCTTCGGCTCTTACTGACGCTATCTGCAGCCGGGTCGGGCTGTCTCTTTTCCTAGGATTACTTCTTTTGTCCTTCTTTTTCTCTATACCTCTCTTTCCTCCACCACCCCCGGCCGGGTCCCCCCCATCCCCCTACACACCCCAACTCTGTTCTATCCCTCCATCCTCTCCCTCCTCCTTCCACCCTTTCTTCCCCCCAACCCCCGCTCCCCCCTTCCCCCGCCACCCCCTCCCCCCCCCCGCCCCCCCCCCCCCCCTTGCCCCTGCCACCCGCTCCCACCCCAGTCTCCCCCCACCTGCCTTCAATCCTTCCCCTCCTCTCCTTCCTCTACTCTTCATTCCCCATTCTCTGTCCTTGTCACCTTCCTCCCGACCACCTCCTCTGTCCCTCTATTATCGTACTCCATTCCCCGCTCTCCATCTTTCCACGCAACCGCAGGGCTCGGGGCATCGGAGAATAAAACCCAGAGGGCCGGAGCCCGGCGCCTCCCGCCCTCCCTGGAGTCCCCCCACACGGGGCTGGACCGGCTCGGATTCCAGCGAGAACAGGGGGCGCCGGATTCCGGCCCTCTGGGCTTTATTCTCAGGTACCCCGAGCTCCGCGGCTGCGGGAAAAGAGGGAGAGGGAAGGACGGGGAGAGAGGAGAGATCGGGGAGGGGGAGGTGGGGAAGAGGGAGGGTGGACAGATGGGGAGAGTTGAATAGAAGGGGATAGAGGGGAGGGACAACAGAAGAAGAAGTGAGGGGATTGGGTTTGGGGGGAGAGAAGGGAAGGGTTTAGGGGGAAGAGGAAGAAAGAAAGGGAATACGGGGAGAAGGAAGGAGAAGTACAGGCGAGGGACAGGAGGGGAGGCCGAAGCTCCTGCGCCTCACCGGCGGAGCACGCACAAGGACCACGACCCCGCGCCCTGCGCTGAGTAAGGAAATGGCGGCTGAGGCGATTTCCGGGGATTAAATGACCTCGGCCCCGCCTCACGGAGCCCCGCCCTGCCCGGATGGGGCCGGGCCCATCGCTCCGAGCCCCGTCCCTCACACCTGGGCCGAACCGGGGCTTCGGGCTCACTGGGTCCCGGGGCGGGATTGGCGCTGG